GTGAAAGCATGGTATCCCCATACCAACAAGGGGCAGCGACAATTTTACCTGTCTGAGGGAATTTCCACTGGAAATTAGAAGAATCAGGCAATCTCTTTGAATCTCTCTCTCTCTCTCTCCCTCTCTCCCTCCCTCTCCTTCTTGTTCTATCTCTTACATGCACACACCTATCATCAACAAAAGGAAAGATATGAGCAGAGCAATAGCTGGTTGGTTGGAGGGGTGATCACCATCATCTTTATCTCAACTTGTAGTCCATATGTGCCAGTCTGCTATTCTTGTGAAGTTAGTAGAGGTTGGTCTTTACATGCCTTGTTTCTCTCCTGTGTGGCACTCTATCATATGTTAAGTAATTTCATCTGTGTTTCATGTCCACTTGAAACTTTCTTTAATGTCTAAATGACTGATAACAGCTCAGAGAATACTGGAAAAACCACTTCCCCTCACCCACCCTTAAGCAGATGTGGTTCATAAGTTATATTTCCCTTTCCCACTAGCTTTGATTTTTGTGTGTGTGTTTATTTTATTCCAAAACGATGACCTGACAGTAATTATAAATTCAAAAGTCATTAAGGATAATGACACTCACTATCCTGGGGATAAGTATTGCTGCTCCTAGTCAGTATTGCTTTGTAGTCAGGAAAAGCACCAAAAGGATGGAGTTCTAAGTAATTCCAGGTGATAAATACTTAGGATGAGAATAGAATGTTGTGCTTTCAGAACTCTTGGGTACATCTAATATCCTATTACTAACCTAATCTCCCACTATATCTCTTGATATAGTATTTGAAAAATAGTAAGTTTTCTGTAAAAGTTAAATAAATAAATACATGAGCTGATTCCTCAAGGCCACCCCATCAAAACATGTCTTTTTTTTTTTTTTTTTGTGGAAATGTGTCAGAAACTGTGAACTAGACCAGCTGCAGCATTTGAACAAAAATTAGCCTTAATAGAGGATGCACATGCATGGAACCCAGAGTTGGACAGGAATTTTCTGTGAGCATTTGAAACTTGGCTCTGACTGTGGTTTCTCTGTCACAGATTTTGGGATGGGAGAGTGCTCCCACAGTGAAAGTGTGTGTGCTCACATGGAAACTGAATAGAACCTTGGCTAGACTAAGAGTCATCACTATTTTAGTCATTTCCAGATGTCTGCTGTTGGAATTTTAAGAGAAGGGGAAAGACATGTTGAGTGTGGTGGGTCCACTCAGTGGAGGGGGTTCCTCTTTTAAGCCTTTCAACTGAGATTTAAGGCTACCCTTCATGATGGATTGAACAGAGCTTTTTGAAACTGCTCTTCAGTAGTACCTCTTTCATTTGTACACTGGATTGTGTAATAGGAAAACTGAAGAAACCCAAATTAATCAGGATTAAAAAAAAACCCACAGAAACAAGAACCCTTATGCCCTTTGGTTGTGATATAATTTTTATGACATGACAGCCACTGAACATATGTTGAGTGGTACAGACGCCAGGTAAGCAGCTGCCCCTGAAGCAATTGTACTAACCACACAAGCTCACCAGATGCTTGTTGTATACCTGCTTTCTCCTTTCATATTATTTTTATTATTATCATTTTTTTATTTATATAAGCACTGGAGGGTGAGAGAATTCACCAGAGCCAGAGCGGGAAACAGAATAGGCAGACTGATGAAATACACTGCTGAGGGGAGCAGCCAGCATGGCAAGAGGGGTCTGCGCGCCATGTAGGACCCTCACTGGCGGCTGGGGATCGAACCAGTGCTGCAGATGCTGTGGGCAGCTTTGCAGCCCAGCGCTCAACTGCTGCGCCACCAGGGGAGGCCCTCCTTTCATGTTATTTTGAAGATTTCTTGAAATCCCAATGCATTCATTACGAATTAGAAAAAAACTTTCTGGTTATAGTGTTTATGGAGCTGGAGATGAGGCCCTCTGAAATGCTTTCAAAAGGAGTGCCTGGACTTTCTAAGAGGTGTTGGTACCACTTGGAACCAATCCAGGTATATAGGTCAAAAAACCCTACTGGATTGGAAGGTCTCTTATTCCTTTGGTTTACTGGGCAGGTATGATGTGAGCATGATAGAAACCTGGTAGGTAAAGAAAAGACAGGAGAAGTAGTCTAGTACAGTGGTTAAATCTATAGATTTGAATTAGATATTCCTAGTTCAAGTTCAGGATCTTTCATCTACTAGGTATGTTAATGTGTGTGTTATTTAGTATCTCTAAGGCTCAGTTTCTTCATATGATTTGGGTGGAGATGGGGGGGAATCTTTGTAAATTATATTCCCTTCCTTTCCAACTAGGTTGTGAGCTAACTAGGAGTGACACAAAGAGCAAGACAGAAGGAGGTCAGTGTGTCAACTTCATTAATGTTAAAGCTGATTTAAAGAATGTGGAATCTTTTTGTCCCAAGTGGGCTTCATTGTCAGAGCTTCCTTCCCAGCAGATCTAGAACAGAACAGAGTACAGCCCCTGTTTCTTCCCCATTTCTTCATCTATGCTCTGCTATTACATTAGATCCTCCTCCCAGGGCTATCTTTTTTTTTTAAAAAAGATTTATTTATTTATGCATACAAGAGCTGGGGTACAGGCCAGAGGTGTGGGGGTGAGAGGATTCACCAGAGACAAAGTGGGGAACAGAACAGACAGACTGAAATATACCGCTGAGGGAAGGAGTGGGCGAGTCAGAGAGGTCTGCTGCGCCATGTGGGTACCTCCCTGGCAGGCCAGGGATCAAACTCATGCTGTAGAGGCTGCGGATAGCTTCACAGTGCTGTGCTTAACCCCTTGTACCACCAGAGAAGCCCCCCAGAGCTATCTTGAGGCAGTGGAGAGTTACAGGGATTGTTATCATCTTTGGATTTTCCCCACATGGAAGGAAGCATCAAGAGTGGAAAACGGGGAACAGAACAGGCAGACTGATGAAATACACGGCTGAGGGGAGATCTGCGTGCCATGTGGGACCCTCACCTACGGCCAGGGATCGAACCGGCGCTGCAGAGGCTGTGGGCAGCTTCACAGCCCAACGTTCAACCACTGTGCCACCAGGGGAGGCCCAATAAATAAAATCTTAAAAAAAAAAAAGAGCAGAAAACAATTGTATTTAGTAGTAGCAGCTTCAGAAAGTTCTTTTAAGGCTTCTTTTAAGGTAAGAAGTAAAATGTTTAGTATATTTTAAGTGCTCGAAAACTTATTGATAAATATTATTATTGAAACTATTATTAACAAGTGTCAGAATGGTGGCAAGGAAATGAGGAGTTAGTTGCTGGGAAAATAGTTTTGAAAATGGGATGTATTATATTCACAGGAAAAAAATAAACAGTTTAGATTATCTTTAAAGCAGATCAGAGGCCACACAAAACAGGTTCTGCTATTGTGGCACTGAGACAGGAGGGCTAGTTTGAAGGTTTGATAGAGTGTAGAAGGAGAAAAGATTTAAAATAGCTAAGAGGAAGCCGAAACTTTAACTGGATGGGGTTGTGGAACAAGAAGATGTTATGAAAGTGGGTGTGTGGAAATCCTGCCTTTGATTAGGCCGCAGTGATGATTTCTAGGACTTACATAGTTGGCCAATCAGTGTCAATTTGGTGTCTTACTTTTGACATGAGATTAGCCCACATTGTTCCCCTATGTGATATTTCTACTAGTTGTCTAACCCCTGGTTTTTTCTTTTGGCTTGCTTTATTTTTTTCTTTGGCAGAAAAATGCAAATACAATTAAATTCAGTTTAGGGAAGAACTTTGAATTTTGCCTACTTCTCTCTCTTCTCTTCCTGTCCCTATTAAGCCCATGAGCTTGTCTCAGATTTTCTGGAGATATTTTTTCCTGATCATTCTAGGAGAATATTAAAAATTAAATATGCTGTATATATTGAAAGCAGTCACTTTTCTACATCTCCACTGGTTTCTGATTTGAGCTGGGAATAATCTTTAATTTAGACATTTTTCCAATTGTTTGAAACAATTCTCAAATTTTTTAATTTAATTCTTCCTCTGGGAATTAGCACCCAGTGCATTTCCTCCTTTTTCTACTTTGTTTCTTCCTTCCCCCATTTTTTTCTTCCCTTTTTTTAGTAGTAGGTTTCCAAGTGTCTGGGTTGGTGTAAGAGATGTGAAGGCAACCCATTGGATTTTCTAATCAAGGGTGTCTCAATTGATCTCGAGTGAATACCATGTAGGCAAGTTATTGCCTTCTCATTTCACAAAGCATAATAATTTGAAGCTATTGCCGGAGAGATGAAACCAGAGAGAAGCTGAGGATGTGGATATACAGTAATACAGAAACAGTGCTTCAATGCTGAGAGTAAAAAAAAGAGTGAATGCAAAGAGAGAAAGATGAAGACTATTATAAAGGAGTCAGCATCTGAATAAACCAATGTTCTACATAGAAGGAGTGGCTTTGGAAGATGGTGATTCCAGCCCTGGCAGATAATTGTTGGGAAAGAGCATGCAATTTCATGAATAAATGTGCCTGTTGTGGGACAATGCTATAATAGTTTTGAAGAATAGAAGGTTGTGCAGATTGTCCAGTGTCATCTCATCTGCTCCTCATTTGTGCTGTCAGTTGATGCACAGTCTCTGGTTTAAGGAAAACCAATTGAATTGAGGCTCAGGTGACTAGAAGTAGAAATGGCCACAGCACTTTGAGGAAGCACATATTCAGATCCTTCCCACAACATTATGCAAGCTCTTAAAATTGTAAATCTAATGACACCATAAAGCGTGTTTTGATGTTTCAATCAATGGGCATTTCACAGTAATGGCTCCACAGCTGGGCAAGCCTGTATTTGGTTAAAAATTTAGTCTATTTAGAAGCCCCTGAATTTTGAGTAAACCAAGAGACTGCCAATCAATGTGGCAGCTGAAACATTCAATCTATGAAGTAAAACAATAGGGCTCATGTCAGATCCTTCTCCCAATTTTAAGAATTAATGTCATTTTGTTCTTCCTCTGAAAAGTCAATCTTTTTCTTTGAGTTGCTCTGCACAGCATCTGCTAAGTGGCTTTGTTGTTGGATTTTAGGGCTTGGCGCAATACTCCGTTCTCTTTTATGGCTATTACGACAATAAACGAACGATTGGATGGCTGAATTTCAGGCTGCCGCTCTCCTATTTTCTGGTGGGGATCATGTGCATTGGATTCAGCTTTCTGGTTGTCCTTAAAGCGTAAGTTTCATTGGTCTCTTGGGCAGCAAACAATGATTTCTGGAATTCAATGGGGGATTTAATTTGAGAATTAGATTTTTTGGCAGTTTCATGTCTAGAGGATCAGTTTATAAGAGATGAAATGTGATTTTAAATACTGACACCAGAGCTAAACTATTGCATCCCCCAAACACAGGGGTTGAACACCAGAGCAGGTCTTTGAGTCTTTCTGCTGGGTTACACTGTGATTGCATTCCTAATCTGTGTTTAAGGATATTTTAAAATCTTTGTGCTTCAGGTATGAATCAGTGTTGCAAACAATGCCAGAAAATTGCTGCTGACCCCTCTTTTTGCGTGCAGAGAAGTTTGTGACTTGCAAATCAGCTCAATAGGCAGAATCTGTTGTTCATCTTTTTCAAAACCAGAATAATCACTCATCCAAAACATTTCAGCTGTGTCAGACAGCAAAAAGCAAATGGCCCCCAATGAGAACATTGTGATCAACTGTATAATCATGGTTTGTCTCAGAGAAGGGTTTATTTGCACATGAGGAAGAATTTCATTGGTGAACAGATGAAACTGCAGTTCATTTCTTCCCCTGCCAGAAATGTATTTGTGACTCTGTTTGAAGATATTTCTGAAACTTAGCACAGACTTTTGGGGCTATGAATAATCTATCCATGAGCAATTCCCTGTGCTAATTGAGAATAGTTAAAACACTTCAATTAATGTACCCACACTATTGGTCAGGTGCATTGGCCTTTTGATTCGTTATAAGGAAGGACCTCTGCCTGAGGATCCAAGTCACCATGATAAGGAGTATTCTGGAACAATCTATGACATACTTTGTGTCTTACTTCTACCAAATATATTGGTTCTTCCAGAGAACTCTGTCATATTTAGTTTTTAGCCCTTTTAGGACTTAAAAAGAGCCTTATTGGAAAGCCCACACCCAGATCTAATCAGAGACATTAAATAAGTTTGTCTACCTGAGAAAGTACTACCACATTCCAAAACTCTAAGCTGTTGCTAGTCTTTTTAACCTAGTTGGTGGAACTAAAGTCAAGGGCCTAATCAATTTGAAGCTTTATATCACACAGAGAAGGTGGTTTAATTTCAAGGCCCAGTTGTTCCTATTAAAAACAGTTCTCTAAACTAAAAATTCTGGCATATTTTGCAGCAGCAAACTACTAAAAATAGCTGAATCATCCAGGGCAAGCATGACTTAATGAGAAATTCCTTGCTCTCTATTTTTTCCCATTAGATTTTTTTCCAGAATTTTTTTTTTTTCTCATTTCACAGCTCTTTGGGACTAGATATACTTCTTTTTATCTGCTTTTGAGTTTTACATAATAATATTCGTAGACTAGCCTAACAAGCACATAATTGAATACCTAAATAATATGCTAGGTACAAACCTCAATTACTATTAAAAATGTTGTCCACATAGACTATTATACATATATCATAAACATACATGTGCCATAAACCAGGCTCAGTACACTCATATAGATAACTTTAAAAATGGCAAAATGAGAATATATTCATCTGTATTTCTGGATCTGCAACAACAAATATACCTAATGTTTAAAATAACATTTATTAATATCTTCATGCTACTATATTATGTTCATAAAACTATATTAGCTGTTAAAGATTACAAAGTAGGTGTTAGTTTCACTATTTTATAGATAATGCAGTAAGTAGAGTATTAAATGACCTGTCCAAAGCCATTTGACTCTAAGATTGATTTGAACCTAGATGTCTACAGCTCAAAGGCACCTGGGATTCTATATTGTACTTCTTCTTACACGGGCTAGTTTTTTCCTACCATTCATTTTCCTATACTTGGTTGAGCAAGTATTATTTATTCCTTTTGGACAGATGGAGAAATTAAGGCTCAGTAGTTTCATGATTTGAACTCAAATGACCATGGAATTGTTCACCTAGGCTCTGATGCCATCCTCTAACTGCAGCTCTTTTCCCTAATCTCAGATGAGGATATATCTATAGTGATAATGACATGGGCCTGCCTCTATTTTGACCAGAGTAGTCTTTTAAATTCTATATTAAAATCCTTCTTTGTCTGCTGTCAAATTCCTTTGGTATTCTATAGACTCGATACAACTTTTATGGTGACAAATTGGTTAAAAAACACCACCAAATTTCAACTAATCAACTATCTTTGTCTTATAAGTAAAGATTATGTTAAAATTACTCCAACCTTGCACATTTCTAGATAAGTGAAGTTAAGTTTTCCCCTTTTATCTAAATGCCCAGTGCCTCTGTTCACCTTTTTTTTACTTCTTTTGAACCTGTGCTTCACTAGGTTGTTGTGGTTTTCCTGCTATCCTGTGTAAAATTTTCCCAAGTGACTTTATATCCTTGCACAGGATTTCAGCCTCAAAATAGTTCTCATTCCTCCTCCCAATTAAACTTTTCTTTGATTCAGGAAACTAGTTAGCAGTCTCAAAGACAAGCACTCAGACCCTATGGCCTCAAGTCTTATGTTACTTTTCAGAGATATTTTCACTGAAAACAGCAATGTTGAAGTCTTTAATATTGAATTACAGAAACTAAAGCAGGCTATGGAAGGCCTACTGGGCAGGAAGTCCTGGCAAATCCTACAAAGCATATGACTGTCCAGTCTTCCTTAAACAATGGTTGCCCTTATTTGAAAAATGTCAGGATTTTCCAACCTGTGTAAAAGTGATGAGGTAACCATGTTCTATGTCATCTTGCTACTATTTGAACTACAGCAAGCTATATAACTGCAATAAGAAATTCAACGTAAAAATTTTCACTCTTGAAAACATGGCTGAATGGCAACCATTTCCAAACTAATATGATATTGTACAAATCTGACATGATGACAAGAACTGATCAGCAGTAGCATAATGAGCACATGAAATGTGTTGTATTAAGCTAAAGTTATTTATGCTATATGTATTTATTCATTGACATGCTTTCAAGTGCTAAGTTTATTCTAGAGTCAAAATTCATGTATTAATTTGTTTAATAACTATTAAAATATGAAGAGCAGTTATTAAGGGTAACATGGAGGGCTATCTATTGTCTGAAGATTTAATGTTGAACAAATGAAGCTCTGCTCTCATGGTGTCCAGTGGAGAAGCAGACTTTAGACTAAATAATAGCGGAGGCTGTGGCCAGTATATCATGAAGTTATGGCTTTATGATATCAATGGTGACCAAATATTTGCTGATGTGTCTTCCTTGTCAGGAAATGTAATATACTCTCTTTGGTATATGTAGTCCTTGATGTAATTTTCTTTTCATTGCATAGCTGTCTTATCCAGTGTGCTTTCAGAGAATTGCTTCCTACTTTCCTCTCACTGCTCTTTTTCTTCCTGACCTTTTTTTTTTTTTTTAAAGATTTATTTATTTATACAAGCACTGGGTACAGTCAGAAGTGCGGGGGTGGGGGGGGTAAGAAAATTCACCAGAGCCAGAGCAGAGAGCAGAACAGGCAGACTGATGAAGTACACTGCTGAGGGGAGCAGCAGGTGGCAGGAGAGGTCTACGCACCATGTAGGACCCTTGCCCAGTGGCCAGGGATCGAACTGGTGTTGCAGAGGCTGCGGGCTGCTTCACAACCCAGTGCTCAACTGCTGCACCACCAGGGAGGCCCTCTGACTTTTTTTTTTTTTTTTTTTTTTTAGCAGAAGCTATGTTATCAGACCCTGTTAGATCAGGACTTATAGAAGCATTTGTTTGATTTACTTAAAAAAAAAAAAAAACCATATGTGCCCATGAAATAATCAAATGACTGCAATGGGGAGATGGAGTTGTAAAGTTATGGTCCAAGAAGTTCAGTGCAAAACTCTAGGGAAAGGTGTAAATGCAGACTGCTTTCCACAAATTTCCAGTAAAACAAATGAAACATTGAGGTTGCTTCTCATAGACATGGTAGTTAAAAATTATAGCCTCCTTGAAAAAGGAAGAATTTTCCTGAGTTTTTGTGCTTTTTCCTCTATGGGCAAAGGATAGAGCTGCACATGAATGAACATTTTATACCTATCAGGGTCATCTCTCTTTTTCTTGTCAATTCCACATGTTCTCTGTTTGAGCAGTTTTGGTTTCCTTCTCTGGGAGGCCATTTATTGCTATGTAATCTTGAAGTGCAAAGTTCCATTCAAAACTTATATGTCAAGTGGCCATTTTTACTAGAGGTCCTATTTAGAGTTAGTGCAAAATGGATGGTGGCATTTTAATCAGATAAATAATTTTCTCCTTAGATTAAATCATTGAAATGTTTGATTTCGACCCTGTTTGACTTTTAAAAAAGCATTTATATAGTTTGACATATCTCTTGGTGTCTACCTTGGGCACCAGAGTTAAGGCAGAAAATCTAAGTCTTTGATATGGACCCCTCTAGTTTACTGTTGGATGACATCCAGCAAATTACTTATTCCTTGACCCTTGACTTATCCTTGTGTAAAAGAAAAAAAAAAAGAATAATACCGTTTACCTCTAACTAATTTTTTGAGAAGGGCAAATAGTATAACATGTATAAATGCCATTTGCAAAGAGTAAAGAGTAAGCTCCTATAAAGAATACTTTTTTTGGGTCACTTTTCATATCGTGTTGACCCATTAAAACATATAAACTTCTATGCGAAGTGGGGCTACAGGGCCTCCCCTGTGGCACAGCGGGTTGAGCACAGCACTGTGAAGCTGTCCGCAGCCTTTGCAGTGTGGGTTCAATTTCCAGCTGGTCAGGGAGATACCCACATGGCGCAGCAGGCCTCTCCTGTCTTACCTGCTGCTTCCCTCAGCAGTGTATTCAGTCCGTCTGCCTGTTCCACTCCCCGCTCTGTCTGTGGTGAATCACCCTCCTGTGCCTCTGGCCTGTACCCCAGTTCTTGTTAAATAAATAAATAAATATTTTTAAAAAGTGGGGCCCAGTGGGGGCATTTAGATCCCCTTAGAAATGCCTGCCAACCTACGATGTTAGTTTCATGTATTTTTCTTCTTTTCCCATTTGATTTCACTAAAATATTTAAAAAAACCAAAACCTTATGGTAGCACTTCACATGTATCATATGAAATTTTAATTTCATATGGGGGAAAAAGGAAATGGAGTTAAGTGGAATATAATTCTATAACCACTAAAATAAGCCTGTAAGTAATGCATTTTAAACTTGCCAAGCCAAAAAAAAAATCTTTTAAAAATTACTGATTAGAATATATACAACTGTTTGGCATTGAGTTTGTATAAAATCGAGTTTCTGGTCAGCAATTGAAGAGTATGTAGAAATTTCATGCATTCAGTGTAATAACTCTTTTGGAACACATTCTGTGGGGAATGCAACCTATGCAGGAGTTTCCTGACTTTGTTTAATCTTTCAGGGAGTCTGGAACCCAAGTTGTGTAGAAAAGTTTAAGAGTCTATGAATATTTTTGCCCTCTGAGGAGGAAGTGGATTGTTGTCAGAGATTTTTAATTATTTAATTGTTAAAATCATGAATATCTAGTATTCTTTAAATCTTGAAGGCTTGGAAAATGAACAGTTTAAAAGGTTAAAAGAAACAGCAACAAAATTTAAAAATAAGCTTTTCACTTAAATTATCAAAAAAGTAATTTAAGAAGCTTAAATTATCAAATGTAAATATATGTTTAAAAATATATGCCTTTTACGCAAGGGGTTAAGACGCAGCACTGTGAAGCTACCTGCAGCCATTGCAATATGAGTTCGATCCCCAGTCAGGGAGGTGACCCACATGGCGCAGCAGACCTCTCCTGACTCTCCTGCTGCTCCCCTCAGCAGTGTATTTCGTCAGTCTGCCTGTTCTGTTCCCCACTCTGTCTCTGGTGAATCCTCTCACCCCACAGCTCTGGCCTCTACCCCAGTTCTTTTATGCATAAAAAAATAAATCTTTAAAAAAATAAGTAAAAATATATGCCTTTTATACTTTGTTTTCCCAATTGACCTGTAACTCTGGAGCTTTTTCTCCTCCTATCCTTTTCTTTTTGCTTCTATCTAATGGGTTAAACTCCCTGTTTATAGGATGACCAAAAATATCGGTGACGATGGGGGTGGTGATGACAACGCTTTTAACTTCAGCTGGAAGTTGTTCTGCAGCTGGGACTACTTGATCGGTAATCCTGAAACAGCAGACAACAAGTATAATTCTATCACAATGAACTTTAAGGTAAAGATACCAGTATCAAGAGGTTTTTCTTTGTATTTCTAAGAGCAAAATTAGAACTATTCCATATGGTCTAGATAATGAAGTATCTTCACAATAAAAGAAAGATGAACTCACTGTTTTTGCCTATCAGGAGCTGGACAGGATTCTGATTCTGACTGGAAAATTGCTGATGACCCATGATAGCCAATTGGTTCTCTGAATTTCATAATAAAATAATGCCATGAACTTGAAACAGGAGACCAGCAGTGATCAGAATGAATTATTTTAAATAATAGAACAATGCTCACTAATTATTTAAAGGAATAAGCACAATATTTTAAATGACTCTATAGTATTGTTTTAAACAGTTTTTTTTTTTTCTGCAATACTGGAAAGCAATTTAGACTCTATCCTAGAAATAATTATTCTTTCTTTCCCTCACTTGACATCACTTGCTGGCAATGTTCCTCTGGTTTGTGTAACCCCAGATTTAGTTAACATTTCATTTCTCCCATTCTGATGTTTGCAAAAAATTATTCTTGAGTTCATGATACTTTTGGTGGCTCAGATATTCCCTTTTTTTTTTTCTGTTTTGCCTGGGTACAGGAAGCTATCATAGAAGAAAGAGAAGCCCAAGTAGAAGAAAATGTCCACTTAACCAGATTCCTGAGGTTTCTTGCTAACTTCTTCGTGTTTCTAACGCTTGGCGGTAGCGGATACCTCATCTTTTGGGCTGTGAAACGATCCCAGGAATTTGCACAGATGGATCCTGACACCCTTGGGTGGTGGGAAAAAAATGAAGTTCGTTTCTGCATGCTTTTTATGTGCTTAGAACCTGACTTTTGCTATATTGTGGGTTATGTTTCTCTGGTAGAACATTAAATAAGGCTGCTCTTAACCTGTCCATTCCATCTTGCACTTACAGCTCACCAAACCTGTCAAAAATGTTCAAATCTATTCCAGCCTTATTTTCAAATATGTCTACTCTTTTTTGCACTGTCACCTTATGAAAAGTCAGAGTGAAAGAGATATTAGAACACATATCATCCCCATGGCTGCATTTTTTGATGAGAGTGATGAATCTCAGGAAATTAAGTGATGTGTTTATGGAGAATGTGTGGGAAAAAAATAGAGTAGGAACCTAGGATATTTTTGTTTAATTTTTATTAAAGAGACATTGGTTAATAACAGTATGTAGATTTCAGATGCATAGCATTATAATTTGACTTCCATTTATGATAATCATGGTTCTCATCAAAAGTCTCGTTTCCATTCACCATTGGACAATTGGCCCCTCTTTACTGGATTAACCCATCTCCCACCAGTTTCCCTCTTACTGTCTGGTGACCACCATCTCATTCTCATAATCTAAGACTTTGGTTTTGTTTTGCTTTGTTTGTAGAAGCTAGGAGTCTTCATTTCAAGTCTAAGACTCTCTCCTTGATCCTATATTGCTTTCTCTGTAGTTTGCATGTGTCTTTGAAAGATCTAATTATAGCCTGTGTGCTTTGAAGCTGTCACCAAAACCCTTTGGTTCCTAGCTTTTTCTCATTGTGCCTCTCCTGCTTTGGGCAAGTCTGGACTTTTCTGTGTTTGTTTTTTTTTTTTTTTTTTTTTAGTTTATTTTTTATTTTAACATTTATCATTTTTCTATGTTTTTCACTCGCTGCTTAACCATACAGCTCTACCTTCTTTTCCCGCACCGATTGATATTCAAATGAAGGCTTGCTCTTTGTCAGGAATTTAATGTTATGATTATGATTTGTCTTCAGAGTAGCTGTCCATTTATCAGGTCAGGCACAGATATATTTAGAATCAGGAAATTATTGATCATATGTTGTTGTTAGGATCTGTTCATAAAATCTTCTTGCTTACAATGTTGCATCATTTTGAATTTGGACATTTCCAAAATATAAGTAGATGTGGGCTGTAAGAACTGTAGCTTCCCTCACTAAAATTTCCACAGTCTTGTGAGTGAAAATTGGTCAGAAAAATCTTTATAAGCAGCATAGAATTTTCTAGGAAAAAAAAACCTTGTCCAGAATGACAAACTATTTGCAAAAAACAAAAAAACAAAAAAACAAAAAAAAAAAAAAGGAAAAATATGCTAGGTATTTCACAAGTGATAACCCTGGAGATATGAGACCATACACTAAGAGAACAACTCAGACATTTTCTGGAAACCTATAAAGCAGAAAGTCATTAGGTAGAGAGATTTCATTTTTTTTTAAAAGGAGAACCCCAGAACAGTAATTAAATTTGTTGTTAAAATTTCCTTATACTTGTGATAGTACTTATAAGCAAAACTGGGTGTCGCCTTCATCCATAGTTCACAGCTATCATATTTTGTATTATTGAACTGTATTAAAGGATGAGTAGTCGATTCTCATTAAAAAGGACCACTCTTTCTAAAAACCTATAACCTATTTTAGAGAACTTTTGAGTCCTAGGGGTCAACAAAGGTATAGTGGAGATTCATAAATAACCTTTCAAATTGATGAAACAATTTATATTTGCCTTATAGGATTACATAGAATCTGCCCAGTTTTTGCTCCAGGCCGAAATTATATCATGCTGATTTTATATTATGTTACGATGATTTTTAGCTCCTGTTTTTCATGCCCATATAATGTTCTGAATAAAAATGGAAAAGACATATTGATAATTATTTTCTAAATATAGTCTGGTAGTTCTTGTCATTCAAAGCATAGAATCTATGAAGGGAAAGTATTGAGGTAAGTATTTGGGAAAAACAGTTGCCAGAGTTACTGGAAACCTTTCATTTAAAGGAAATGCCTCTCTATAAAAGTACATGACTCTTTCCTTGGTTTAGTTTAGCAATATAATGGTAATATAACATAATATAGTATAATCATAATATAATATAGCACGGCATATCACAAAAGGTTCTAGATAGTCAGTAGATAAGACCATAAATTGTTTCTTTTTGGATTCTCTTCTTTCTCCTTCATTCTCTTACTTTTGTCATTATAAACTATCCTTTATTTTTTGAGACTTTCTTACCTTGGCTTTGACAATATTATGCCATGTGTACTCCTGTTGTTTCTTTGAACGTCCTCTGTTTTCTTTGATAAGATCCATTCCCCCCAAATCTATATTTAGTCCTGATCCCATTTCAAGGAATTCATCCATTCTAATTAATCTCATTAGCCCATAGGCTCATGATTGTTTAATTAGTACTTTAAATTTTGATCTCATTCTTCAAGAAGCTCATTTTCCATTTCCTTTGGAAACCTCGTGAAGTCCTTCACCATATCAGAATCAGTTACCATGTTCATCAGAATCACAGTACATGTTCTTTGTATAGAGAATGAAAAGAATTGCTTCCTTTATTATACCAGAAACTGACTATAATCACTGACACAAAAACAAGCTCATATACAAACTCACCTTGAGAATGTGAGTTGGATTTTGTCTTTATTGTTTTATTAAGATGAAAGTTTTTAAATGCATGAAATACTCTTCCTTAGCTTTTTAAAATATTGAAGAAAACTGGCTGAAATATTGCAGAATTCTGCAGGAAAGTAAAAATAAATTTTAAACACCATTAACCTATTTCATTCCTTGTGTCTTCTTGTAGATGAACATGGTCATGTCCCTATTGGGGATGTTCTGTCCAACATTGTTTGATTTATTTGCTGAGTTGGAAAACTACCATCCCCTCATTGCTCTGAAATGGCTACTGGGACGCATTTTTGCTCTTCTTTTAGGCAATTTGTATGTATTTATTCTTGCCTTGATGGATGAGATTAACAACAAGGTAAGTCTTGTCTGGATAGTCTTTGCCATTTAGCCTCTTGTTACATCCCTAGTCTCACGATTTCCTGCAATGCCTTTGAAATATGTATTGTCTTCAGTTTTATTTCTGTCACTTTGCTTTCTAGATTGAAGAGGAGAAGCTAGTAAAGGCCAATATTAGTCTATGGGAAGCCAACATGATCAAAGCCTACAATGCCTCACTCACTGGAAATACCACTGGGCCGCCCTTTTTTGTGCATCCTGCAGATGTGCCTCGAGGGCCCTGCTGGGAAACAATGGTGGGACAGGTAATGCCACAGACAGAAGTGTATGATAATGAATTGATAAAAATGTCATTATTTCTATCATTAAGTATAGCTTATTTTTATTGCTTATTAGTGAATAATAGCTATTACTAGTACAAGAAGAATATGAAGAACTAGACAGAAGCCATTTTATACAGAAACTTCCAGATTGTGCAAAAATGTATTTTCTTCTTTCCTGCAGCTATTGCTGCAAATCAACTGCAGAAGACTGTTACCTTATGGCACTACAATTGAGTTGCAAATACACCTTTCATTTTAACTCTAGTGCTTTATTGTCACCAAGTAGGGTGTCGATACCACATAAAACCATCCTACACTAATGGGACTTGGAACTGGTGGATCAATACATCCCTCTTCTGTCTCTCAAGTGGTCAATTCTGAGACTTATTTTATATGACTTATTAAGCAGCTCCCCAGAAGGATCAAGAGCATTTCTGTGTGGTCAGTAATTTTCTATCTGATTTTGGTTCTTATGTTATCCTTACAAATTTTGTTTTCAGTAAGAAGACTTAATATTGTCATTTGGAGTGGGGAAAAAAGTTCACTTTGTTAGATATACGTAATTACTTTTATTACTGTCTATTGGAATTTACCCATCTGTTGCTATTTTGAAACATGACAAAGTTGAAAAAGTTGACAAAGAGAGAGAAATGTTACAAGAGAGAAATGCACATTTTAATGCAGATTATATTTCAACAGGAATTTGTGCGGCTCACTGTTTCTGATGTTCTGACAACCTATGTCACGATCCTCATTGGAGACTTTCTCCGGGCTTGTTTTGTAAGGTTCTGCAATTACTGCTGGTGTTGGGACTTGGAATATGGATATGTAAGTGTGATAATCATTGCTCTCTTATTAATTATCCCCTTATAGTTTATTGTTTACACAGACTATACAAGAGGAACATGCCTGAGGATTTAGGAGGTGGGGTCACTTTTTCACATGTCAATAAATAAAGATCAATGAGTATAATTTTAATTCAGAGAGGATCAGAATTGAATATGATGGTTTATAATATTCTGGTAAAATCAGCACAGGGTGGATATAGCAATGGACTTCAATTTGTCTGTTAAAATTATGAATTCAATAAAACTTGGACCCATAGACCACCCCTTCCCTGTGAAGCTTGCTGCAACTTCGAGAAGCAGGGAGGATGGCTAGTGTCAACTGCACATTTTAATAATTCTTTGGAATTACACCACACAAACTCCTGGGCACTTATCATGTGCCAGTCACTGTGCAGTACACTGGGGGATAAAAGAAATCAGTAAATAAGGCTTTTGCTTCATAAAGTCTAACAAGGTAAGCAGGGGCCTGTGGAAGTTTTTAGAGCTAGTTTGCTGATACGGTTCTAGAATGTAGTGGAGATGAATTTTGGCAAGGTGGCTTCCTTTCCCACAACAACAGCACAGGTTTCTCTGAAACTGTCTGATGTTTACTTCATCACCAGCTCATCCTGTATGCTCAATCCTAGGTTACCCCCAAAATTTGGGGCAGTAGCAGAACACACATCACTCTGTTGTCTAATAACACCATCAGCTATCTACTGTCCCTTTTTGCAATGAAACAGTCATGTGAAGGAATTAACCTGAGGGGTTTATAGTACTCATTTCCTTAAAATCTTCCCACTTTGTGTGTACTGAGAATGAAGTTCAAATCCCATTCTAGGGCCTTCAGTACTGTGTATGATTTACTTCTTTTCCATGCCCCTGGCTTATCACCTACCATGTTTGCTCTTGTTTTATGAAGCCCACAAACATTTGGATTCTTTCCTTTTTTAAAAAAAGATTTATTTATTTATGCACATAAGAGCTGGGGTACAGGCCAGAGATGGTGGGGGGGGTGGTGAGAGGATTCACCAGAGACAGAGTGGGGAACAGAACAGGCGCAGAATGACTGAAATACACTGCTGAGAAGAGCAGCGGGTGAGACAGGAGAGGTCTGCTTTGCCATGTGGGTTTCTCTTTGGCTGGGTGGGGATCGAACTTGTGCTGCAGAGTCTGCAAATTGCTTCATAGTGCAGTGCTTAACTCTTGTGCCACCAGGGAGGCCCAGGATTCTTTCGTAAGCTCAAAGACAAGATGATTCCTTGCATTTGTGCTAGTTGTTTCTCCCTCTTGACATGCTGGTTCCTAGAACTTGGCAAGAATTTCTTTCTTGTTATTAAGTACTCAGCTAACTGTCATCTCCTTAGAGCTCCTCTCTGACCATCCAGTCTAATATAGCTCATCAGCACTTTCTTTCAGCATGCTGTTTTTATTTTCTTCATATAATGTAAACTATTTGACAAATTCCTCTTTTAAATGCTTATTAACTGTCTCCTATTAGTAGGAAAACAGTCCTTGACCTCTATGTGCAGAACTGTCTTTGGTTTCTCAGTTCTTGATTATGGCTAGAAAAGAATTCAAAGCCACTTTCAGGCAAAACAACGTGGTGTTAACTTAGTGCCAGTATACTCTGGAAGGTCTCTGAGCCAGCAAAGTCCATGGGAGAACAACTTTCACAAAAGGTGAGGGATTTTTGGCTCATATGGAGTGTTGAGTTTCTTGCTTAGTCTTTCTAGGAAAAAGATTTTATCAGATCCATACTCCATCCTTCCACACAGAGGGGAGAAATCTGGGTGATTTCCTTCCAGGTTCCTAGAGATTAGGGTGGGTATCCACCAGGATGATTTGAAAGTCAACCTCCTCTACTATTCATGTGCTCCCCAGATGTTGTTTTTGTTGTCCCCTGCAGCTTTTTGCTAGTTTCTTGGTTTCTCCCAAATATTGGCCATTCATTATCACAGGACTCCTCCCTGCCCTAACTACCTAATAGTACTATGCTAGTCATATGGCAGCCATTATGTGTTGCCTGACTGATTCGATGTTGAACCTACTCATTCCAGCACCATGAGGAATACTGTACATTGACAGAACTCCACCCAATTCCAGGGATGGGCTCATGGAATCAATTCTCTTTCATTTTCTTGAGTCAGTGATGTCTCCTTTCCAGTGGAGGGTGTTCTTTACTGCTGACTATCTCATGTTCTCTAGTCCCTGGAGAAGTCCTATATCCAGAACAATTTTGATGACGCCAGACTAGATCTTCTGCCTGGCTCTCTGACTTTGAGATTCTACCTTTTATTACATCAACTAGATCACCTTCTCCAAGAATTCCTCTCAAATGAGCCAAGGCAGTTACGTAATGTTGTTTGGTGAACAATAGTGAGGTAATGCTATAGATCCAGGATGCTCTTGCACTGTTCCCATTTGCTGTGATGAGGTATTCAGCTGGCTTGGTTTCATTTCTGTTTTCTTGGCCTGATTCAGCTCTTCTGTGGCAGACATAAAAATTGTCATTTTTTTCTTAGAACATTGTTTGACTTATGCTTGCCTTTTATCACTTACTTCTTTCTTCTTAAGTGCTAGAAAATTTTGCTTCAAATATGAAGTCAATATAATGTGACCTGGATGCATAAGAGATGTTATTAAATGATTTTAATTTATTATTTATTGAGCACTGACAGTGCTCTTGGGTTAATACAAAGTTCAGGAAAGATAATTTCCTCATAGAAAGTGAACTTTCTTTCTTGTTACATTTAAAAGTCTCTGCAGTGAGGAACTCAGCTTTTAAAACATTAAGGTTGGCTAAGTGCCCAAGGACAGAGTAATATATTAAGAAGATGTGGGTATATATAACATGATGAAATACTGTTCAGCTATAAAAAAGATGAGCTCTTGCTATTTGCAACAACAGAGTTGGAACTGGAGTGGATTATGCTGAGTGAGATAAGTCAGAAGGAGAAAGACAAATGCCAGATGATTCATTCATGTGTGGAATATAGATAAACCAAACAAAGGAACTGATAAAACTAAACCAAACCAATACCTAGAAAAATGACTGCAGAATTGAGGCAACTAGAATCAGAAGGAGGGTGGAGGTGGGAATAGTGTGGAGTAGAGCCCAGTGGTCTAGGGCAAAGGCCTGTGGGTGCTTTGATGGTGGGTCTGGTGTGGTAACATGCATCTGAGGAGCTGTGAACCTATTTCCCTAAGACATATACAGTGCTGTAAACCAATATTACCTTAATTAAAAGTAAACAAAAACATGAAGGGTGATGAATATTTGATATGGATCCTATTCTCCTTGATTTACCAAGAGAATAACTTACACAGTTGAGCGACTAAACAGGTATAAACACCACTGTGAGCAAACCTCTTTGCTAAGTGATAAGGGGACACAGAGATGTGAAATATATAAGCCTAAAGAGAGCTTGCAAGCTTAGGTCTGTAGTCTAGATTCAGCTTATAGATATTTTTGTCTTTGATCTGCAAAATGTTTTTTTTTTTTCTTTTAATCAACTGATATTTAAAAACTGGGAGCTTTACATTAAAGAAACAGATTTTTTTTTCTTTTCTTGACATATTGGAAGCTCTGACAACATTAGATTCATATTCCCTATTGGAAAAAATTGACTAGAGCTGAGAAACCACTGCTCACTTGATGAAATGTCCATTAGCCACTTTCTCAAACTCTTTACTCTTTAATCTTGCAAGTTCCCATTGTCAGTTCAGAACAGAAAATATAAATGCCATAAGAAAAAAAATTGCTCTGTGACTTTGGGAGAGAGGAACAGTGAGAGAGCTCAATAGAAACACAAAGATATGAAGGAGGAAGGGACATATGAACCATCTTGAAAGATGATCAGCGTTTTAAAAGATTGTGCTGGAAGAAAACATCCTCAGTGGAAGGATAGGAATAAGACCAGGTCCAGAAGCTGGCAAGTATGGTCAGTGAAGACAGAGATGCAGACTCAACTGGGGCTATTTTAGGGAAAACAAAAAACAAAAAACTGATGAGAATGTATCTCTGATATTCTTTTGGGCTTACTAATTGACAGTATGACCTGAAACTACCTGCCATGAAATGAGGAAGAGTATGAGCTGGATAGAGAAGATACTTTTGAGCATACTTTCTGGAGTGAAAGAGAAAAATTTGTCCATTTCTACCACCACCAAAAAAAAAAAAAAGAAGATGTTTTCTTTCTTTCCTGAAATTCAAAAGGCGTTATGATGGATAATTGTAGCCATCCAGAAAGATGGCTTGATGAAGAGTCAGTAAGAATTTCTGGGTTTCCCATAAAGGGATGAGAACATGGGAAAAGGCACACTGGCTTACTTTGACCTTCCAGTTGAACACTAGATGGAGTCTGTCTTCAGGTAGCAGAATCTTGCTGGCAATTAGGGTTCCACTTCAAGTACAAAACCTCAAGGTACTGATTCATCCTAGTAGATCTAGGACTTTTCCTAGGTCAGTGGCTCTCAAATTCTAATATGCACAAGGATCTCCAGAAGTCATGTGAAAACACATGGTTTCTGATTCAGTAGACCTACGGTGGAGCCTCAAAATTCACTTTTCTAACAAATTCCCAGGTGATGCTGCTGTTTTCGATCTAGGGACCACCCTTGAGAACTACTTCCCGGAATCACAGGCCAGGCCAGCTCTAAGTAGAGGGATTCCAGCTGTGAGAAATGACATTTATGTGATAAAAGTCTGGCAGTTCATTGCAATGACAGCATTCTCTCTGAGATCCTGCCTTGCCTGTCACCACATCCATAGGTAGATGATCTGCCCCAAATAACAAAACTTGCAGCAAGAGGCTGGGTTTTCTTTTTTCTTTTTTCTCAAGCCAGCAATTTTATTGAGTTAATTCTCAATTAAGACAGGAAATGATTCAGGGGCAGCAGGCATAGAAGGTCATGGTCAGGAAGACAGAGGTGCTCTCCTGTGATAACTTATACAGCTGCTCGTGTTTGTGTTCCTTGTAAGAATGACAGTAGTTGAAAAGCATGTAAGCTGCTATCACCATAGAAATCCCGGCCATGCTTCCTTTCTTCACGTTGATGTACTTGCTGTAATATGGGTAGTAACCTCTTTGAAATGCTCCAGCAAATGCCTTTAAGGGGTGAAATCCCTTATTAGTAGACAGATTGGCAGCTACCTTAGTTTGACATCCAAGAGCTTCCTTTCCTTCATGGTATGACTGATGCCATGTTGGGGTCCTCTGGGTTTTTTTTTTTAAGTCCAATGAGCATCATATGTTTTTCTTTGGGGTAGCTGAATAAACTGACCCACCACGAGTAAAGGTCCAAAATAAATAATTTTCAATTCCTTTAACTATTATGTACCTCAGTCTAAATCCTCTATTCCTGGCCCCTAAAATTCTTGTTTGAGCAGCCATTAGCAGGTTTATTATACTTATCCCATTTGAAAAAATTTCAGTATCTCAGGATGCAAGAAAACCTATTTTTTACCCCCAAGCATCATTTACCCTTAAGCTTTTTTAAAAAAAATATTTTACAGGTAATTAAACAAACATACTGCAAATTGATTTTCACTTATATCATCAAAATGTTGCTTTCAGTTTTTTAGAGCATAATATAATTTCACATCTTAAAATAAACTCCACCTGTAAAAGAATGAACATTGATTTTTATTATAGTGTGTAAGAGTGGGGTGCTGTCTTACATTTCTTTCATTTTTAGAGTTGCTGAGTTTAATGCATATTGTAATAAACTCTATTTTAAAAGGTGCTCACAAGGAAGCAGTTCTTTAATATTTGGGTCAATTTTTTTAACCAAGTTTGATTTTAGATTAGAAAAGGCTCTTAGAAACGTCTAGTTCAAAAGTCAGCAAACCCTTTCTGTAAAGGGCTGGATAATATGTATTTTGCTTCTGCAGGTATGATATTGTGATGTAATGAGAAATATTTATTTTGGCATTCATTTCTTGACTGTGGTCAGAGGTCCTAAAAACTTTGTCATTTTTTAAGTGGTAAAGGTGCTAGTGACATCTTTATTTTGGTATTTAATCGTTAACCCCAGTTCCTAGATTTCTTGGAATATCTTGGGCATTAGGAGCATATTTTGTTCTAATGAAACAACTCTTGGTGGACTCCTAGATAGTTTCAGGATGGGAACTGTTCATCAGAAAGACCCAGACATGATTAGAAAGTCGAAACTTTCAGCCCCATCCGCTCTGCCCTCCAGGGATGGGGAGAGGCTTTGGAGAATTAAGAAGTTAATGACGCTGAGCATGATCCCTTCCAACTCCATTCATGTTGCTGCAAATTGCACAAGTTTATCTTTTTTGATTGCTGAGTAATATTCCATTGTGTAAATAAAATAATTTATAAAAAAAAAAAATCAACCTACCCTAAACATTGGTGTTAGCATTATGCTCTAAGGCAGCAGTTAAACAATTAAGCATACATTTCAGAAAATACTCTCACCTTTATTAGCTGCATAAAAAAAGCTCTCTGTTCCTCCAAAAAAAAAAAAGAAGTTAATGACAGTTACATCTAGGTGATGAATCACCATAAAAATCCTTGAACCGGGCCTCCCCTGTTGACGCAGCAGTTGAGTGCTGGGCTGCAAAGCTGCCCACAGCCTCTGCAGCGCCGATTTGATCCCCGGCCACTGGCAGCGAGGGTCCCACATGGTGCGCAGACCTCTCCTGCCGCCCACTGCTCCCCTCAGCAGTGTATTTCCTCAGTCTGCCTGCTCTGCGACTCTCTCTGGCTCTGGTGAATTCTCTCACTCTCACGCTCTTCTGACTGTTCCCAGTGCTTGCATAAATAAATAAATAAATAAATAAATAAATAAATCTTAAAAAAAAAAATCCTTGAACCATTGGGTTCATGGAGGTTCTGTGCTCCCTCCCCCCATATCTTGCCTTAAGCATCTCTCCCATCTGGCTATTCCTGAGTAGTATCCTGTTATAATAAAGTGGTAGTCTAGTAAATTAGCTGTTTTCTTGAGTTCTGTGTGCTGTCCTAGCAAATTATCCAACCTGAGGGAGTCCTGGGAATCTTCACTTTATAATGTTTCTCAGCATAGGTGAGAACCTGCTTTTGCTTAGTGTCTGAGGTAGGACTTACCTTGAGAGTCCATAACCTGTGTGGTCTGTACTAACTCCCTACACACAGTGTCAGAGTTGAGTAGAAATATAGAAAATCTACTTTATGTCCACAGAAATTTGGGGACTTAATTAGGGTAGTGGTGTGTGTATGTGTGTGTGTGTGTGTGTGCGCTTGTGCGTGCCTGTGGAGGGGGGCCACACATCTGTATCAGAAGTATTGTGAGTATAGCAGTTGAGGAAACAGAGAGTTTTCCTTTCAGCTGGTTTTGTTTTAACTACTAAACTCTCCTGTTTCAGTTCCAAACAACCATAGAAAATACATAAATGGATGAATGTGACTATTCTTTTAGAGGTTTATTTCTAAAACAAGTGGTGTTTCAGATTTGACTTATGAACCATTGTTTGCCAACCTCTTGTCTAGCTTGTTTCATTAATCTGTGAGGAAACTCAGGCCCACTGAAATTAAATGACTGGCCTAGTTTGCTCAGAAAACGCAGGGGGAAGTGCCTGCTACTCAGGACTGATCCCAGTCAGATGTCTGTACCACAAATCCACTTGGTACAGTAAGACTGCCCTGAACTCTGTCTTAGTATCAGGTAAATTTACTCATCAAAGATTTTGTTCCTCCAGCTGCCCCTGCTGCAAGTACAGTATGAGACCAGGAGTTCCCTGTGTGTCTCTTGTTCTTTTCTAGTCATATGGATATAAAAATACTCATCTCAAACAACCTTTAAGAAGTTAGTGGGCTTGGAAGAGTAAAGAAAATGTGCATCCAAAAGGGTGATTTTTTTCATTTTCTATAGTTTTTTTCCCTAAATGACGACACTTCTAAAAAAGTCAGGTTGAAGGTTGAATTCTTAAATTGACACAGAGAAGAGCTGACCCAAGGTCACAGATGGTGCAGGTCACCTGATGGAACTTGTGTCAGCTGGGTTTCCTCATTTCACAGGGCTCCAGAGAAAAGGGTTGATGATCCAGACAAAGCATTTCTGTGAAGAGAAAAACTCATAGTCAGTGTTTCTCAAGATAAAGGCATTTAATTTTTTCCATGATTTCATTGCTGGTTTTGGAAGAAAAAGCTACAGGTCACTCCAACCTCTTTGCATCTTGTGAACATCATGCTTTTAGATAATCTGCAAACTAGTGAAACACATTGCATATCCTTTAGCAGTATCTTGAGTGCATTTATGCTGACATCCTCCAGGTTATCTTTGCCTTGCTGTTATAGAGGACTTCTTATGATTTCATTGTGTATTTTCTGATCATTTTATCTTGTTATTTAATGATTGTTTTGTTGTTTACTCCCTAAAGTTGCAGTTTACTCCTTAAATTTCTTGCAAGGTACATCACCCATATATTTCAGTTGACTAGGAAGTTAACATTGTTTTTTGGGAAAGTGATGAGGTTGAGGCCTGGATTCATGAACTTTTGTGGCAAAGCATTGGAAAATTGTAATTTTTTTGGCATTACAAATCAGAGAACTTTTCTGTCTTATTATGCAAGTATTTTGGGTTCTTGGATTTGAAAAAAGGTTAGGTCATGTTAGGAAAGTGTTAAGTCTGGGTGTGTGTGTGTGTGTGTGTGTGTGTGTGTTGGGAGGGAGTTATTATGAGGGTGTGTATTATCTGAAGCCATACCTGCAAATGTCAGGCTCTGGAATACTGCTGTCTTATCACTCTGTTAGTCTCTCTTTCATGTTTTTTTTTTCCTCATGTTAGCAATTAGTCTACTCACTGATTATTCTCTGTCTCAAATTAAATAGGATCTGGTTTTATTGTCTTGGATAATTTGCATTAATCCCATTCTATAGCAAATTGCCATCTAGGATGCATAAAGTGTCAGCAGGAAACCTTTGAACAGGCCACCCTAGGATAGCTGTCTACCTCATTTCCTATATGTGCCTCTCAGCACAACAGCCTGGTGTTTCTGATCCAAGCAGGAGAGTTCACCTGGGAGACCAACACTGGATGAATTAAATAATTTCTTGAACTTCTGCTGCATTTCTTTCTCTGTATTTATTTTAATATAGAAGTATTTCACATTTTTTGTTGAAAAATATTTCAAAACATACCAAACTTAGAAATGAAAATAAAAACCATAATCCATCACCGACATGTAACAGTATTAAGCTTGCTTGTTACTTTCATGTCTGTTCCCTATGCATAGTTTCATATAGAGTTAATCAAAATACTGAATGTATAATTTCAATTTTACATTTTTTGCTTGACATTAGAGTATATTTCTCTTATTTATGTAAGTATTATTCCATCAATGATTGTAATTAGCTGCAATATATAACATAGTATAGATACACTGTGTTTACTGAAACAAAAGTTGGGTGGTTTCATCTCTACTTATTAAAATTTATTAGCCTTTAAGATTACTTTGTTAAAACAAATTCCTAGAAGCAGAACTACAGGGGCAAAGAGAATGAAGTTGTTAAAGAATTTATTACATTTTGTCAATTTGTTTTTCTAAAAGATTGCTTCAGTTTTCACCAGCAGTGTATGGAAGAGTCCATCTTGTCATACTTTCACAGCACTAAATGACAGACATTTATTTATATTGTATTACTATGTTAAGAAGGTTGCTGTCTTATTTTATTTATTGCTAATTTTTTATCATATTGATAATTTTCCTCTTATTGCTACAAAAAAATAAAGTAGTTGAGAGTCTAGCTCAAACTGTGTTTAAACATGAAACAGTTTCCTTTCAATTTTTACCATGTGAGATGCTAATTTAATGAACATGTGTGTCTCCTCCAGCCCTCATACACGGAATTTGACATCAGTGGCAATGTCCTCGCTCTGATCTTCAACCAAGGCATGATCTGGTAGGCCAACTGTTCATCACTCATAGAAAAGCCTCCAAGATTATTATTGCATAAAACACTATATACTGGTGTCATAGGAGAACACAATCTGTGTCTGACTCAGTATTTACCTTTGCAAACTGGATGTCTTTGAATGGTTCACTTTTTCCCCCCACATCCTAAATCTTGGTCCTCAAAAGCATCTTGCAGAGTACGCCTTTCTTCAGATGATAGGAATCTGTGTTCTGGTTGGAGATTATTTGAAGTCTTCTTATTCTGTTATCACTCTAGGAACTTACAGTGAAATGTGAATGATCCCAAAGCCACATTACATATGAAATGAATTAATATAAGGCCTTGTTGAGAAACTAACTTTATTTTCATGTCACTATTGAATATATTTAAAATACAACTTATAGCCACTTTTGAAAGACTATCTTACCAAACCCTAAATTCATAGAGATGAAAAACCTTTTAGGGAGGTTGAGTTAAAAATATGGTCTTTATTCTGTAATATGTTTTATAGGACCATTTGCACATCCCAATTATTTCTTTTGATGTGCAAAGGATTGTCATATCTTTTATTTAATGAAGGCATTCTCACTGTAAACACTGACAGGTTAAGATAGTTGATTAAGTAGAAACCATTTGTTTTTTTTTGTTTTTTAAGTAGAAACCATTTTGAATTTAAAAAGTGAATCATAGCATGCAATTCACCTGGGGACCATGTATCTTAGGAGTGTGTCACTCCTAACTCAGGGCACCCCAGCCCATGGCTGAACTTCTTTATTCTGCTGATATGTCTAATATTATATGGTGCCACCAACCACACCATTGTCCTGAGCACAAGTACCAGTAACTAGCTACAGTTTTTGCATGAGCTTCATATATTGTTCAAATTCTTCAACTGTAGGTGACCTGAATTATGAAAACTTTGTGAGCCTGGACCCTTCTGAAAATGTGAAAATCATCTTCCGTAATGTAAAGACCAAAACTAAGGGCCCCCTTGTCTTGCCATGGGGCCTGTCAAATCCCTTTGCCTTACAATCAATCAATAGGAGAAATGACTATAAAGAGATCATTGTTTCCATTGTTAGATAGGTTTAAAATGTGAATTCTTGTTCCCTAGTTTTCCAAATTTTGTAGATTATGGCTCATGTGTTCAGACAGTCATTAAGGAGTGAAATGTTTCCTTTATTTTCCCAAGCAAGGAGGAAAGTCAAGGTGGTCTAAATGTGATGACTGTCAGAGATAGTCAAGGAAGCAGTTCCTATGGGCTCTGGGATTTTCCTTTCTTGGAGGGGATTCTGCTGTCATGGCAGAAAATGGCTAACATTGCTAGTGGAGTAATGAGAAACCAGTGCCTTATAACAGCTTTAAAACTCCTAGTCCCTTACACAGATTGTCATAAATCCCTCAAGCCTGGTGGGTACCATTTGTACAAACATATGGCGTGTGCCTATTTCTTGTTTTTTCAGATTTAAGACAACAGGTTGGCCTAGAAATTATTTTTAATTATCAGAAAAGCTGTTGCAATAGCTGTCCTGACAGGTTTCAGTTGTAATTTTGCAACTATTTAGTCCACTATTGTTCATATTGAAATTTTTAAATATATAAAATCTTATCCATTTTTCTCAGGGGTAGACCCATTATCAAAATCTCTACATTATCATCATACTATCACATTTTATGTATTCACCCTTCAGATTTTGGTGAAGAATTGCTTCTGTAAGTTTGAAGAGGACTTCAGAAAATGATTGTGTTTTATTGCATGTACAAAATACTGATCCACTCAGGAAAATGAATAACTATAAGAAAGTGAAAATCAAAATCAACAAAAAACTATGAACCAGAGACACTTTTTGGGGGGTGGGGGCCGGGAGGGGAGGGATTGGGGTCAGAATGGGGCATGTGCAGTTGTATGGGGGAATATAAAAATAAAATTTATTATTAAAAAAAAAAAATACTGATCCACCTTCCAGAGTACCGGAAGCAAGATAGCTATTATTTACCTTCAGGTCAATGTTTTATGCAAATACTCTTTTTTAAGTCTCAGGACTTTGGTAAGGGAGTTGGGATGTGGTGTGGCAGGTTATGTGTGGAGAGTGTGTAATCTAAGCTTATCAGGCTGCTACAGTACAGGGTACACACACATGTTAATCCACTAGATTATGAGGCATGAGGCTTGAGTTTGGCCATTTTCTACAGAAACAAAAGAGCATTTTGTATTAAGTTCCATTGGCTGATGACTGGAGATGTTCTGTTTCTGCTTTAGGAGTTTCTGAGTAGAGGGTGTTATTTATGCCAATGTTATTAAAGTCAAAAATTTACAGGCAAAATCCATTTTTCTATGAGTTGGTTAAAATGATCCATAGCACTTGATGCCACATTTTTATTTTTCTATAGATGGTAGAGGTTACTATAATCATGCTTTTAAATAATGAAAGCACATCTTATCTTTAGCATAGCAGGATGGAGAGGCAGAGAACAGAGAGAGAGAAAGACACACACACACACACACACACACACACACAGAGAGAGAGAGAGAGAGAGAGAGAGAGAGAGAGAGAGAGAGGGTCTGGATATTTCTGTAGCACTGTCTCTTTACCTTCCCTCCTGCCAGTCTTCTCAACTTTTGCTAATAGTTTATCTGATATGTACAGTGTCACTGGAGTAATAATGGGACCTAAATAAAGGAAGCTTTCATTTGATTTGATGATCTGGAAGAAAAACATTTTATAAAGCTATAGTATTACAATGATCTTTAACTGACAAATGATGGGATCAAGTCTGGGTGAGGGGCTTAGTGAATCAAGCTGATTAATGAGTTACAAACAAAAATACAATGAGTTTAAGGTTTAGATATCACAGTGTCAGAAACCTGTTTTTCTAGGTAATGTTTCTTCAAGTCATTTGTTCAAAATACCTATGTGATAGTTGTTTTGAAGTATTGAGATTTATTTATCTATAGGTGAATGTGCATGTAATATGTGTCTACAGTATGTACATATGCATACAGGTAAGTGATGCACATGTGTCTAAAGGTACAAATGTATGTGGCTTTAGGCAAGTCTAAGTCTTGAGGTGTGTACAAAATCCTCTCTTAAGATAAACTAGATTGGGCAGTAATGAAACACAACCCCGAAATCTTAGTGGCTTATGAAAACAAAAGTTTATTTCTTTTTTGCTCTACATCCCCAACATGGGTTGGTAGAAAGCTCTGCTGTATTAAGTTTCCCTGACTGTGAAGTCTCTGTTTCTAGATTTATAAGATAATTCATCTGAATTATTGCTGGTCTGAGTGGTAGAGAGAGAGGGAAGAGAGCAAAAAACCCTCATTTTTAATTCTGTTTTATTGGGCAAAACAAGTCAGATGGCCAAATCTGACTTTTAGAAAGGGGAGCGCATCACCATTCAAAACATATTACAAAACAAATATTGACAGTTGGGAATATAACCTAGTACTTTGCAATTCCGATCTCTTAGCTGGAAGTGTTAATCACTCACGTTTTGGGGATTCCATGTTCTCTTTATTATCCTTGTAGCCAAGATACACTGTATTGTTCCAAAGTCTATCCTCTCATTTATTTTTAATTAATAAAATTTATGTCAAATAGAGTTCTTAGGTTTATAGCAAAACTGAATGGAATTAAATACAGTTCCTACATGCTTCCTTCCCCTAGCATGTACAACCTCTCCCACTGTTGACACCCTCCACTGGAAAGATACATTTTTGCAACTGATGAACCTACACAGACACATCATTATCACACAAAGTTCATACCATTTCAAAAAATAATTTAACTTCCTACAATGCCTGTGATCAATTCAGTATGTTAAAACATTATTCAGGTGTGCTGTGTAGAATTCTATCAACAAGACTACCCAGATTGTGGAAAGATTCCACTTTTCAGTGAAATGGCTTACTGCTTTGTTCCCCACATTCACTTAGAGCAGAAATGAATTTCTTCATCTATTTCAAACTTCCCCATATAAACCAATATACATTGTATTGGTTCAAACAATTGCTCTGTGTATCTAAGAAATATAAAATGCTAACTCTAATTAGAATTACTGAGGATATTATTATAGATAGGATAGTTTAAAAGATAGAACTCTGCTTGTACTCTTAAAATAAGTGCACATGTTTTCTCATTTGGTTTTGGACTGTTCAATTGCTATAAATATGACTTCATGGTGCTAGTGGATTTCCTCAAAGAAAATTGAAATTTAGTTTGTTGAAAACTCCCACAAATTCATCTAGTAAAAGTGACTTATGGTAAGTGGCTCTTGTATAAAAGTGGCATTTTAAAATCCTTTTTAAAAATCAAAGGTTCAAAGCAGTGAATTTCTAGGATCAGCTAAACTAAGAAAGCAGCAGATAATCTAAATTAAATGAATGTGTTAAATTTTCATCTCAAAAGCAATAATAGATTATCAATAAAACATGGCCTATTATTAGATACAAATGCATTATTCCCTTCAACTCTAAAATACATGGCAGCCACAAATGGTAAGTAATATAAAGCAAAGAAATTTTATTTTAATTTTTTCTCTTTCATTAAACAAAAATTAATTTGCCAGTACCAAAGTAATTAATGCAGATGCCCAATTAATCTGAGTAGAATGAGTGTTTTTAAGGGACAATTATAAAAAATGTTAAATATGTAGATACAGTAATCAATGATATGAAATTAAGTTTATTAAGGGACATTAAGTTTATTTTAGAAGTAGAAGAAATAAGTTAACAAATAAATTGTTGTTTAAATTTTCTAATGATAGCAGATGTTGTTAGTAACCAGCATAATTTCTAAGAAAATTATATTTTAAATGCCTATAATAATGGAGATGGTAAAATATGTATGAAAGATAAAATAGATAAGTCAGATTTATTTATAAAAAGAGTTTGCCTGGTTAAAAGTGATAATATATTTTCTGTCTGTGCAAATAAGTATAATGTAAAATAAGCCTGTATGTGACTGTTATGGAGAGAAGACTAACTGAGCAGAATTCTGTTTTTCTTTCTAGGATGGGTTCCTTCTTTGCTCCAAGCCTCCCAGGCATCAATATTCTTCGACTTCACACATCAATGTACTTCCAGTGCTGGGCCGTGATGTGCTGCAATGTTCCCGAGGCCAGAGTCTTTAAAGCTTCCAGATCGAATAATTTCTACCTGGGCATGCTATTGCTCATCCTCTTCTTATCCACCATGCCTGTCCTATACATGATCGTATCCCTCCCACCATCTTTTGATTGTGGCCCCTTCAGGTTCTTGCCTTTGAAATTTCATTTGGGTATAGTTTTCTTCCAGTTGTGTAAATGTGATTGGCATTCATTGTATGGCTATATTCCTGCAAAAACAATGGCATTTTGGTGATAGAAATACGTTCATCCAGGCTCATTATTTGACATGGAGATTCTTAGGCAAGTTCCATCTACTTTCTAATTTGGGAATCATCAAAGAAAAAATAATTTAGCTGTTCCATTCTCTGCCTGGAGAAAATATGAGCAATGAATCTGAGCTATTTCCATATAAGGAGATAGCAAAGAGTAAGGTTTGATTATGTTTGCCTGGATGTAAAAGTTTTTCTTATACTAGGTCATTACATGTAGACATCATAAATTTTTGCTACTTCTCACATCTCACAAAATTGATAAAACTAAAAAAAGAAAACAATAAGTAATGCAGAATACCTCACCTATTTATTATCTAAATAATAAATTATTATCTAAATAATAATAATAAATTACTATCTAAATAATAATAAATATAAATAAGGTCACACATTTTGTGATTTCATTACTGCATACTAGTAAAAAAAATAATGGTTCTCATGTATATTTTCACCTAAATAGCAAGGATAAATCACTCAAGTCAAAGAATCAACGAATTTAAGAAGGCTCTTTGATCCAAGTTAGAAATATACTTTTCTATAGTTCCTAATGATTGAGTTCTCTCTCTGACATTCATCAGGAAAGCAAAGTCCCTGGATCTAGAGAATTGACATTTCATTCCTTTAAAAAAAGTCTCCCAAGATTCTCTGCATTTGAAGTCACTGGTCAGCGTACATTTGAAGTATTTCTCCTTTTCAGTGAAGGAAATGTGAATGTGAAAAGTCATGTGAATGACAAGCATGATGCAATAATGACCACATATAATTTCTTCTTTATGCTGTCAGACCTAAATTTTTAAATCAAAGTGAAAAAGGTTATTGCCCACTTTACTGCCCAATTTTGCTTTAATAATAGTCTGAGTTATTGTTACTTTGCAGGAAAAGAAAGAAAATAATGAGCCAGTAGACAGGACCAAGGTGGATTAAGTTCTTTCCTGCTCAGAAAACTGATGTTGACAAATCCTGTTCATTCTTTTTTCTTCCCCTCCCCGCCACCACGCCTCCCCATCCCACCAACCCTTACCCCTGCAGGCTGAAATAAATACTGCAAATAGTGACATCTGGAGACCAACTATGACATTGCAGTCTTGAAGGAGAGATTGTTCCTAATCCTTAAATCTCAAGAGTTAAGGATCTTGAGATTCTACAGATAAGACCTCCAAAAACTTGAGTTAATTGCAATAATTACAAATCACTCACATAACTAAATATCTGAGATAAATTTTTAATTGAAAGTTGATCCTCCTCAGAAAAATGTATCAAAGGTAGCAAAGACACAGGGAATTCCCAGATGCTAGTAATTTTGCATTGAGGGCACAGGGCTGCTAACAAGACTTTTGTAAGACATGAGTATTTTGTAAAATTCCAGCCCCTCTCCCCCATCTTTTAACCACTTTCATCCACCATAGCCCCAGTGGATAGATATGAGGGGTAAATTATCTCATCCCTTCTTTTCCTACTCACTTCCCTCTTTCCTCTGGCTGCACTCCATATGACAAGTCCATTAGAATGAAGTGGAATAGCTGAAATAATCTTTAATTGTCTGTAAACTTGATTGTTCCTTATATATTATAGTACTTGCTAATTAGTATGTAGATCTGCAAATGTGATTGAAAACTTGTACCTCTGTAGTCCAGTGACTCCTGACACAATGCTTAGAGTCTGAATCTATTGAAAGATATTATTAGTTAGATCAGGAGAAAAAAAAAATTGATCTGGAACCTGTAGGTCATGCTCATTTAATAACTGAGGATTTTTTAGAGATCAAAAACAAAAAGTGAGGGGTCTCCCTGATGGCCTAGGGGTTAAGTCTCAGCACTATCACTGCTATAGCCTGAGTTCAATCCCTGGCCAGGGATATAACCCACATTGCAGCAGACCTTTCCTGTCTAGCCCACTACTCCCCTTAGCATTGCATTTCAGTAGATCCACCTGTTCTATTCCCCACTCTGTCTCTGGTGAATCCTCTCACACCCCTAACCCCCATACCTCTGGCCAATACCCCAGTTTTGCTATACATAAATAAATGAAATAAATATTAAAAAATTGAAACAAAAATATTATATTGCAAGTTATACCAACCATTATTCTGATGATGCTACAACTTGGTGATAATCTAATATCTTCTCAGAAAATTACATCTTTTCATAGTAGAATCAATATGCATATACAGAAAAAAATAACATAATCAATATTCTTTTTATAGTTCTGAATATTATAAACTATGTTAAGGCAGATATTTTTCGAGTTTATAGGGTCTGATTCTTCCCTGAGTGGGTCAAGAGCAAACTCATTAAAGACCTTTACTTTTTAAGCTTATTTTCCTTCTCTTCCCTTTTTTTGTTCTTAGTAGTAGAATCCCATCTGGTTTTCATTAGGGCCTACCTATGCAGAAGAAATACTGAGAAAGGATTCATCGTCCAGTGTGGTTCTAATTAAAGAAATCTGGTAGAAAATGACCTACAAGCTATTACATGGAAAAGAGATATTGGATTATATTTGGATTTTATTCTGTTAAACTAATCCTTATCCACATTTCCAAGCCTACTTAAAACTCGAGTACATTATTGATTCAGCCCAAAAAGCATGTTCTCCATCATAGGAGGTAGGCTCGCTGGCTGAAGTATATGTTTACGTACTGTTTATAAAAAAGTATTTCTAACAAAACCATAGAAATGCAGTGTAGAGTGCAGGAACAGACACGGTGCAGGTTTTCTAAGATCCCATGCAGAACGGGTAAAGGAGGAGTCGGAGTCCTTAGTAGCTTTTGCAGGTCTTTTATTGGGGTTACCAGGTACACAGCAGGCAGGGGTGCTAGGGGCCCGGGAGGCTGGCAGTCCTCCCAGCCCCCAGCAAATCTGCACTCTCTCTGGGCTCTCTCGCCTTCTCTCTGCTTCTCTTCTTCTTTCTCGGCTTCTCTTTTGGCTTCTACTCGGCTTCTTGGCTTCTGCTGGCATCCCTGTGTCGCCACCCTTAACAGCACAGTCTTAGCCCAGGTGAATCCCATCTACCTATGCCCACACCCTACTCCAGGTGCCCGCCATCAGGCATGCATTCAGGACATCAGGGATCCATCATCTATCCTGATGGCGGGAGGGCAGAAAAGCCTGACATTTTTCCTTACCCTACATGCAGTTTAAAAAAAAAAATCTTCTAATGCTGGGGTTACTTTCCTAACTATGTTGACTATGAATTTATGTTTATAACATGTCTCATATTATATCCATTATGTTGATAATATGAGGTCCAAGTGTCAGCAGTTGTTGGTTAATCAGATTCCTAACCTGAAGGAGTACTTACGCGGTGTTTGAGGAAGATTGCTACTTTTCTTGCTGTAACCATTGCTTTTCCGTGTTTTAAATAAACTTCTATCCCCTTTTATTTTTCTTTCCAGTGGCAAAAATAGGATGTTTGAAGTCATTGGAGAAACACTGGAGCATGATTTCCCAAGCTGGATGGCAAAGATCTTAAGACAGCTTTCTAATCCTGGACTGGTCATTGCTGTCGTTTTGCTTATGGCGTATGTGCATTCCCTCCTCAAAGAAAGAGGCTTTATAATGCTCTTGCCTTTTAAGTTTCAGCTTTTTCAGCTCTCTTACTCTCCCCAAGGGTTGTGCTGTGACCTAATCAAATTCAGCATAATTACATGGTGGTGAAAAGCTAAAATTCATGAGCCATGTTCTGATCCTATTGGATGTAATTCATAGCCATCTGCATCTGTCTTTGCTTGCCTAGGATTATAAGATTTGTTCCCAAGTAACTAAAATAATTATCAGTAAACAGCTAAAGCAAGGGAAACATAAATGCTAACTGCTAAATCTAATCAGCACATTGAGCTTCCCCCCACCTCCCAGCCCCCACATCTTATTTCATAAAGCAGATGGCTGTGAACACACAGAAATGATGAGTCTCTAAGTTAATATTTCTCTGGAGAGCCCTATAGGGTATATTTTAAGACTAAAACCTTAAGAGGCCTTAAAAACTACCCTGTCCTTGATACTAGAGGCTCATCGATAATTGTGTGTCCATGATAATAGAATCAGAATACTGGGCAGGTCTTGGAAAGTTCACTTAGTCTACATCCTCAAAGTCAGGTGATAGCCAAAGGGGTACTTTGGAAGGGGTTTTTCCTCCCATATTGCTTTTATTGGCTTCTGACTCTTGGACACCACAGGTACACTTACATTCTAAACAAAAATATATGCTTTCTATGAAAGAGCTACAAAAAGTACCCTAATCCTTCCTTTCAGTCCCTGAGGCCCCTTCTAAATAGAAAGTCTAAAACCACCCTCAGAGACACTTTAGAAATAAACCAGATGCAAAGGGTTGGATTTACTTAAATAAAAGCAAAACAGGGATTTGAAGTAAATGAGCAGGGTCCTGGTGCAAGTTGTTACCAGCATCTTTGTGAAGATCATGGTTGCTACCTTCTTCAATTTTACCAAATAAAAAATTGACTTAATGGCAGGGGGTCGGGGGAGGTCTGGAGGGGTTGTGACATTTCATAGGTAAGAAATCAGAAAAATGGTAATAGGAAAAAGTAGGGCTTTGACAGAGAATCCAGCACTCATCCTTTTACACCTTGACAACTCCCTTGAGGGAATGTCATCGCCTATAGGGATAATTAAACATTAAAACCGATTACTATTGTATATTACAGAGCCTTGATCATGGAGTGACGTTAAGAATCTGATAGTAAATCTTTGGTGCACATATGTTAGAAAATGACCTACTGGATGCAGTATGTTTTACCAGATGGCCCTTGAAGGGATTTTCCTTCTCTACGTTTTCATGATACAGTGGCTTCTGAAAGCTTGTTAAGTATCCTGTGGCCTTTAAAAGTCAAGGCTCTTTAGTGATATAAATGAGATCTTGTTTTAAAAAAAAATCTGCAAAACTTAATGTCCAATTTTATTACTATATTCTTAATTTATTGAGAGACATTTATTTTTAAGCAAAGAAACATAAGGTTGTTCAAATGCCACTAATTGAAGATTTAATAAGCTGTTGCAAGTGTGTGGAAGAGAAGCTAATACTACCTATTTCCCAGCACTATCTGCATATTAACTCATTTAATTTCCACAATAACCTTAAGAAGCTATCCTGGTAATCATATTAATAGTGTGTGGAAGATCTGCCCCAAATCAAATGACTAATAAATGAATCTAAATACATGTTTTCCTGTTCTCCACCTTTTATTCTCCCCTCTTATTTGCAGCACCAGACACAGAGTTCAGGATGAGTGGGAAAGAAGTCTTGTCAGGGATGGTCTACATCCAGGTGGACACACTTTCTCTTAAAGGGATAGATTACAGATATTTTAGACTTTGTGGGTCAGGTGACAACATTGAGGCTATTATGTAAGTACTTATGTAATCATTAAAAATGTACAAACCATTCTTAATTCATGGGCCATACAGAAAGACTGAAAGTCAGTTTGGCCTGGAGACCATAGTCTGCTGACCCCTACACAGAACATCTAGAGGAAAGCTGGCAAGATTTCAGGGTCAATATATGTCCCACAAGATTGCTTTTAGTTCTGAGATTGTGATTTAAAACCAAATTGTTTATTGCCAATTTGATTTTTTAAATCCTGAGTTCTCATCTCCCACTTTATGGGCCCTGTGCAATTGGCTTGGCTTTTTATGACTTTTAATTAGAGAATGCTACATGTTATAAGCATTTTAATTCCCCCAATGAATCATATTAAATCAGCTAGGGTGTTTTTTGGGTAACTGAATAGAGTTCAGGTTAGTTCTCTGCAGACAGTTCATTCCTTTAGAAACTAGAAAATGATTTATGAGTAATTATCTAAGGTACATTATGAGGCAGGAAAAAAGTGCTAGAAAAATAGACAATCCAGAATTGCAAATGACTTGTGAAGACTTTGAGTTCATTTTCCAAATCCAGGAATTATTCTAAGAAAATCCTTATAATGTGGGCATGCAGCCAGCCAGACAGACAGCCAGACAGAGACGGACACACACACATTTATTGAGTACCTACTTCATGCCAGATAGTGTACCAGATATTTTCATGTATGTAATCTCATTTAAACTCCTATTACTCATATAAGAGATAAACAAACCCAGCTAAACCATATCAATAATTGTGTTGCTAGTACCAGATGGCTCATAAGGGGTCTAACTGGCATGTTGGTAACTAAAGGAAATGTGTTCAGTATCCAGTTATTTGCAACAAAGAGCAATGCCAATTACCTTTTTTTTTTTTAACATCATCTTTTTCTTTGTTTCTCTTGCTTTAAGTGACTATGAGCATAATTATTTTTGCACAAATGTTTGGCCAGAGCTTGCTCTCTCTAGAAATGTAAATGTCACTTAAAAGCCAAGAATAGTCTTTTATGAAACATTTTCTGTTGGAAGGAAGGAGAAATGTAAAAAACATATGCTATGGAAAAAGAATCCAGGGCCTCCACAGTGGCGCAGCGGTTGAGCGCTGGGTTGCGAAGCTGCCCGCGGCCTCTGCAGTGCCGGTTTGATCCCTGGCCGCTGGTGAGGGTCCCACATGGCGAAGCAGACCTCTCCTGTCTCTCCCGCTGCTCCCTTCAGCAGTGTACTTCGTCAGTATGCCTGTTCTTTTCCCTGCTCTGGCTCTGGTGAATCCTCTTACCTTCCGCGCTTCTGACTGCACCCAGTGATTGTATAAATAAATAAATAAATAAATAAATAAATAAATAAATAAATAAATAAAACTTCAAAAAAAGAAAAAAGAAAAAGAATCCATATTAATTAACAGTGACTATGATGATAATTTTTTAGCTGTAAAAGCCAAAGAAAAGAATTTAAGGGGGAAAGTCAGTTTCCTTTTTATTCCACACATTCCCTAAGCTTCAGATTTTTCTATTCTCTTGGATACTGTTAGAATTGACTTAACATGTACTTTTAGTTATAATTTGAACAATGTTAATACATTTCCAAGAAGGCACTAAAAGAGATACAGAGGTACACTAGAGAGGTACAGAGGACCGAGTATAATTCCTAGTGTTCTTCCTTAGTTCTCTGTACTCCAGTCATTACCTACAAAATAAGAGGCTTATTAGAGTAAAAATTTAGAGTAAAAAATATCTTAGAGCCTACTCTGAAGGTACCATCCTATGGCTAAATGTAAATTTTTTTAAAATTTGAGTATTAAAAAAATAACTTTTTTTTTAATTTAGTTTGACCATCTATTATCTTAATGCTACTGCAAAGGGCCAGAAGACAGCAAATCTGGATCTAAAAAGGAAGATGAAACAGGTAGGATAAAATCAATTTCACAGAAATAATGTCTTTAATGTAATTAGTGGTAAGCAGGAGAAAACAGGAAATCTCATGCTCTTTTCTGCTTTTTTTTTTTTTTTTAATCACATAGCAAGCCTTGGAGAACAAAATGCGAAATAAGAAAATGACAAGTGCACGAGCAGGTTGGAAATATGTTTGTGATTTTTTTCCTCTAAAATTGTATATTCCTTTTTTTCCTCCAAATAAGGAATTTAATGTTTAGTGACATTATTGCCTTAGCAGTCATTCCTCAGATGTTATTGCCCACCAGTTTAGACCCTCTCTCAGGCACCATACCCAAGGGGTTAGTGGTTTTGCAGTGGAAAAAAAAAATTTGGACATGTAACCTTAGAGGTAGTGATAGGAGGTTTTGCAAACTGAAAGAAAATAAAATCTACCTAATCATACAACTAGGCAATACAAATGCAGAATCTCTTCTGTCCTTTGAGTAATTATTATACATAGAAGGATAAACTACAAAGATAACCTCAGAACCCAACACTATTATTGTCAGTCATTCCTAATTCATTTAATCATTCCTAATTCATGTAATCTCTTTTTTTTTTGCACCCCCTTCAATTTGAAGATACTAGAACAAGATATATTAGTATTTGCCAAAATTATTGATCTGCTTTTTTTAAAAAAAGATTCATTTATTTATGCATACAGAACTAGGGGATAAGCCAGAAGTGTGGGGGGTGAGAGGATTCACCAGACACAGAGTGGGGAACAGAACAGGCAGACTGAATGAAATACACTGTTAGGGGAGAAGCGGGCAAGTCAGGAGAGGTCTGCTGCGCCATGTGAGTCACCTCCCTGTCCCGGGATTGAACTAGTGCTGCAGTGGCTGTGGTTAACTTCGTAGGTTGCGTCTTATCCCTTTGCGCCACCAGGGAGGAGCCCCCCAATTTTTCTCCATTCTTAAAGTTCTTTATATTAGCAGGCATTTCTTTCCCTGTAAGTAACAAAGTAACTCATCCCAAGTTTGTTTAAGTAGAAAAGAAGAAATTTATTTGTCCACATAAATGTACAGAGGGTGGTACCTATGGCTTAGGCCATGTTTTACCCCAAGTTTAAAAGCCTCCTGGCCTTAATCCCTTTTCTCAGTGATTCTGTCAGCACTGCCCTCTTTTATGTTGACTGCCTTTTATAGCCCCAGAAATGGACACAGCAACTTCCAGTGCCACATCCTGAGATTATAACACTCAGAGGAAAAAAGACAATAATTTTTTTAAAAGATTTATACATTTTTTAATAATTAAGTTACTTGTTTCTTCTTCCTTTCTTTTTTTCAACTTCGTTGCAGTAGTTCTAGAGATGTGTGGCTCCCCAGTCCAGCCCCTCCTTGGCCTGTTCCCAGATCAGACATGTTGGGCAGCAGCAATGATAGTCGCTGTTCCACCCTCCCCTTCCAGCTCTTCCAGAACTCAGGGCTTCTCGGCCATGCTTTCTGAGTGTGGCCTGAACTCCTCCAGTCTCAGTGGATTCCCCTTCTGTGTCTGGTATGCTGCCGTCATCCTTTGATTTCTTTTCATGCCAGTCTGTAGACTAACACCTTATCCTGTTTTGAATATCCCGTTTTCTGTTTTTCCAACTCCTTTCTTGGTATGGTCACATATTTTGGGGAAAGAAAGGGTATGTAATAGTAAGCTTCCTGAGACTTTGCATTTCTGATACTGCCCTTCTTTTATCTTCTCTTTTAGTTGATAGCTTAGGTAGGTGTAGAAAATTCCTATCTAACTAGATCAATAATAATTTTCCTTTAGAATAATATTCCTTTAGAGACTTTGTCCATGTCTCCCTAATTTTGGAATTTCTATTGAAAATCTAAAGTCATTCTGATTCTTAATCTTTCATATGTGACTTGTAGTTTTAACAGTCTGTTTTGCTTATCTGGGAAATTGTGAATATGTGAATTATCATGTGAAATTTCATGAATGATGTCTTGAATGAATCTATTTGTATACCTGCGTCCTTATCAATGGCCCTTTCACTGAGAAACTCATGTACCTTAGTTGCAGGGAATTATAAAAAAATGTTATATATGATTCCTTATTCATTTTTTTCTGTTCTCTCTTTACGAAATTCATAGTAATTAGATAGTGGGCCTGTAATTTTCTTAATTCTCTTGATTATGCTCCTCTTTGTCTCTTTGTTTAACCCATAAATATTTCCTTAACTTTGATTTTCATTATTTATCTTGCCTTTTTCTGTTGTCATAATTTTAATTTTCGCAAGTTATTTTGCTATCTAACTTCTCTTTTTAAAACAGCATCATATTCTGGTTTAATAACTGCAATGGCTTTTTTTTTGTTTGTTTGAGAATATTAGTAACTCTGAAAAAGTTTTTTTTCTTTCAAAGTCTTCTTTTTCCACAAGTTGCTTTGTGCTTTCTTATGCCTGTTGTTGTCTACTGTAGAATCTTCTCAGGGGCATCATGATGTTTGACCCTAGGCTCCTAATCAGGGGTGAGACACACATGTTTGAAAGGTCTAAGATTGTGCAAAGTGTGTGGACACATCTTCATTCTAGAACTCTACGTGTGTTTTGATGAACCTGTGTGTCATTGTCTTGAAGGCTTTCATTTTGTGCTGGCCAGATTCCCCAGACAATTCACATCCAAGTTTCTTCCTGGAGAGTAAAGGTTTCCTAGCAAAATTAAAACACCTGTGCAGGAAAAGTGGTCACAGATCTCAGTTTTCTACTTAAAAATATTCACTGAAGTCTCTACTTCTTACTATGTTACTCCTTATATTCTTCTAGCCCACAAACTTCTTTTTGTTATTTCTAGAAAAAAAAATTCTTGCAGTTTTCTGCCAGAGAATGGAGGGGTCAGTCACTGATCTGTGCCAAGAGGAATAACTCTGGGACTCTAAATGTTTCTTAAACAGATAGCCAGTCTCCTCTTTGTACTGATTTCTCACGTTCACATTGGTCACTACTGCTGCCAATTCCTGAATCTTCCAGAGATTTTGTGTGTAAATTACATTGCTCCCAGTTTTCCTTCTATGCTGGCTTAGAATTATATTTGTCATATCTAATGTCACTTTTTATTTTTCTGTCTTCTTTCTAATTTCTAATATTATTATTGTTATCTTCTCTCCTAATCTGCCCTTCTTTATGGGTTTGTGTCCATCCCCAAATTCCTTAAGTGTCATGTTTGAGAAGGAGCAAAAGTTGAATCCTATGTATTTACCTACACAGTCCATGCGAACCTTCATATCTCCTACATCAAGAAGAGCAATGGTTTCCTTTTTATCTGAACTCTGTTCATGCAGTCATTACCTGGGGTACTTTGTTGAGATGGAGTCTAGTATGTAGTCTACATTCTCAGGAACTGATTAGTATTTTTCAGACTTTAAGAGTATAGAGGTATGTACCTGCAAAACTTTTTTGTAGTATCTAGACTGTGTCTATAACTTCACATTATCAAATGAAAAGTCTTCACAAATATATCCTGGACATAGATACTGAAATATAAGAACATTTACTGGAATTCTTTTACTGGAAAAATTTGAAAGGGATAAACATAATATTATAATGTAATAGATGTAGTATTAATTATATAAGCAGTAATAAACAGGTATTTTAATAAAGCAGAAACTTACTTTCCCTTTAGAATTTGTGAGAATTTTGTAAAGTAAGAAATATAGAGATATTTTCAATATGAATTTGCTAAATACTATGGCAACCTGGAGCACATTTTTTTTTAAAGATTTATTTATTTATGCATACAAGAGCTGGGATACAGGCTAGAGGTGTGTGGGGGTGTGTGTGAGAGGATTCACCAGAGACAGAGTAGGGAACAGCACAGGCAGATTGACGGAAGTACACTGCTGAGGGGAGCAGCGGGCAAGTCAGGAGAGGTCTGCTGTGCCATGTGGGTTGCTCCCTGGCCGGCTGGGGATTGAACTGGTGCTGCAGAGACTGTGAACAGCTTCACAGGCTGCATCTTAACCCCTTGTGCCGCCACGGAGGGCCCTGGACCACGTTCAGAAGACAAATTTCAGGTCACTTCATTCAGAAGCATTAAGCACATTAAAAGTAAGTTAAACTTCCATTTGCTTTTTCTTCACTTCTTGCTATTTTTTTTTTTTTTCCTTTGTGAACAGCTGCAGCTGCTGGTGGCCAGTAACTTTCACAGATATGTTGGAGGCCCACATGTACTCCTCACCTTGCTGTTTGAAAGGACTGACAGGTGAATGTCCAGAACATAAGAATTGTGGAGTTGGTGTTCCCTGTTCTAAACCTGGTGGATTATCAAGGTCAGCCTGGTTCATCAAAACATTAATTTAGCAAGCAGGACCTCCACCTTTCTCCAAAATAAAGATTTCTTTCTACGTTTTGCCACATTCTCCCATACCCACTTCCCTTTAAAATTGAATTTTAAATGGATGTGAATCAACAACATAGATTAATGTTTTACTTGATAAGTTAATTTAAAATCATTTGCTCACATGGACTTTCATTTTATGAATTTCTTCTGTTAAGTTTCTTGGGATAGGAACAGGAGTATTTCATCTTCTCTTTTCCTGGAAGTTGAGAGATATATTCATAAAATACTCAATATAATCATTCATTAACTCACTTTTTGAAACCAAGTCCATATTTTCCTTTTTTTTCTGTTTGCCCATTCATGGTTCCCACAAATATAAACCCAAAACCTTTTTATTGGCTTCTGATTTCAATATGAAAAGGGATGAATCTGATCAGCACCAGTTGCAGGTCTCTCCCCTTAAGTAGGTGTGTGGTTATTAGACAACCCAACCTTTTTTTTCCTTTTTGAAAAAAAAAATTCTTCTTGAGGTAACATTAATTTGCAAGACTTTATGTAATTTAGAGGTGTAGGATCACACCTCTTCGGATTATCCCAGTCTTCTGAGTTAAAAATAGTATGACACTGGAAATAATTACAGTTCAATCACAGTCTGATTATTTGCCCTTCAAAGGGGCTATCTCCTGAGTATAAACTCCCATATTCTGTAATTTTTTTTTTTTTTGGTAACATTAGGAAAATACCCACTTTGGAGGATGGCCAGTTTATAGATGTGTTTAAGTATTACTATTTAAATTGACTTTGAATAGTAACACTCAAAGCCCTCAGCTTGTCTTGTTGTGTGACTTCAATTATCTCTTAAAATCTCAATGTCCTTTTCTGGAGCTAAGGTAATTTGTCTGCCACTCTCTGCAGTTGACTTGCTGAGTTTTTATTGCTATGTCTTTCAGTTTCTCCCTTTTCACTCTTTTTCTGGCCATACAGTGATCACCCTTCTGTCCTGTCCATGCATGTATTCAGCACTGCCAGTCTACCAAATCCAAGATTTAATTTCCTGTGCTCATCTCTTTCAGATTAGCTTTTGTTCCCAATCATATCATTCCCTGATAGGTCTTCTTGTCTATATGTCTTTAATTCAGAATCTATTATGTATACTGATTGCCCTGTGCTTTGTAATGACCCTTTGTTGTTTCTTCTATACACGGGATCATCTTTTCTGTCCAGATTGTAAGCCCTCTGTGAGCAGGGATCATATATCCTAACACCTTTTTAGTGCTGTGCACAGGTAGGCACTGAATAAATGCTTGCTAATTAAATTGAATCAATTTAACTTACAGCAATTGCACTGTGAAACAAAAACTTCTGTTACCTGCACAAAAAATATTACTATGATGTAAGAAATGGTGTTACCTATTGATGTGCTGAGTTCATTATCTCAATAGATTAAAATGCAGATGAGTAAATAAAGCTTGCATGTAAGTCTACTGGATGATTTTTGCACTGTGCAGTAGTAAAATTAGGGAATTGTTTTTTGTGTTGCCAAATTTGAAATGTGGATAACACTTGCTTTTGAGCTATTTCATCACTCTTTTGTGGCTCAGACGCCACATTAATCTCCTTAATTTACAGAATTAATTCCAAAATTAATGATAACTTCCCACTTAGGGCAAGGCATAGACATCACAACTCTATCAGATAGAAATTGAGAAAAAAGACTTGCTTTCTCTTACTCCCTATCAAATATAATATTAAGCAAAATCCAGCTATTACCTCACCTTTCCAACACTGATGAGATAAGGATAAAGTGGGAATTATGATGATTAGTAAGGCTTCCCTTGAATAAAAATATGCATGTGGATAATATCATGTTATAATTTTCTTTTGTTTCATTTGGTTTACAAAAGTAAAAGTGCCTCCACAATTTTTTGTGAAGATTTATATACCAAAAGAATAAGTAAGCAGGCTTCTAGAATCAGAGATATAATGATAGAATTGGCAAGTATTCTCAGCTCTGATTTTTTAGAAAAGACGTTAAGAATTAATCATAATTAAAAACAAACTGTAGTCATAGTTTTATTCTCATCTACCAACTGCAAGAAGGAAACACCATTATATGATGATGTCAGGAGTTCTCAAACCCCTATATAAGATTTCTTTTTCTCAAAACTCACTTACAGTGTATTGCCTTGGATACTTGGCCTTACATGGTCCAGCTGCCTTTTCCAGGATGGGTTTTAATGGTTTTGTAATTATGAATAATGGAAAAATGAAATACTTGAAATCTTCTGGAAACTTAAATGTTATGTAGCACACATCTTTATACAAACACATAAAATTCTGTAAGGGCATGTACCAGGAAGACATAATCTACTTAATTTCTTTTCAGTGGAGAAGTCAGAACTTATCTACATTTTTTTGTCTACAGTGCCTTCCCCATGGGCTCCCTAAGTGACCTTCCCTTCTCCCCACCCCCAAAGTCCTTCTGTCTTGCTTCATAACTTCTCATGAATAGAGAAGGTATACAGTTTGCTTTTGAATTTCTTTTTTAACTTATTCTCTTAAAATCTGTCGATACTTGTTTAATTAATTGTCAGCCTGGAAAACCCCAGTGGGGTACGCATGATTTCCTTTGTAACAACAGTATGTAATTGTTCATAAATATCTCCTTTGGAGCTAAGTTTGGTAAAGTCCAGAGAAGTTTTATTTCTGACTAAGCAACAATTTTTAAACTTTTAAAAATAAAAGTTTCTTGAAAGTGGTGGCATGCCAGGTTTTCCATACTGTGGGAAAGAAAAGGGGCATGATGAGGGAGCCAGACCCAGTTTGTTTGAGGGCATTGAGTGATGGGATTTGAGAAGGGAGGAAGGTAGTTTGGACAGTCATAAAATTGCCACTTTTGTGTTGCCTTTTCTATTGCTTATTGCCAGTGGAGAACAGATGGAAATCATTAAGCTTCCTTTTCTGAGCCACAGATAATATTCTTGAGGCCATGACAAAGCTGAATGCTAAGTCATGCCATTTGCAAAACTATAAATAAAAAGAAAATTCAAATGACCATTTTGTGATATTTGTGGTTAATTTTTCTAAAACATATTTGTCACGTGACTATTGATTGGCTTCTTATTATTTTAATGTGCTTGCCAGTCTGTGGTAAACTATAAATGATGACTAAAGAGATCTGGCCCTAGGATTGATGATACTAGCTCCTTTCCAATTTTCTCAATTATTTTAATTCTTACACCCATTTTAGAGTTTAGAATTGGATTTTTAAATGGAAAGATAAATATCACAAATCTGTGAATCACAAGTGATACGGAGTTTTTCCAAATGAATACAATGATTCCTTTGGGGACGGTATTGGAGTCATGTTCAGGGACAAAATGACTACCGAGCAGTATGACCTGTGAGTACACAGCCCAGAAAGGCAGATGGTTGTCTCCTTCATTGTGAGTGGTCACTGCTTGCCTTCCTTTTAACAAAAGTTAGATGTAATTGACACATAATATACGAGCTTCAGATGTGCAACACATATTTATATATATTGTGAAAGGAACTCCATAATACATCTAGATAACATCCACTACCACACAGAGTTACAATTTTCTGTGTGTGATGAAAACTTTTAAGATTTACATTAAGCAATTTTCAAATATATAGTACAGTTTTGCCTTTCTTGATAACATCAGCTGAACTTCCATGATACTCACTGGTTTTCCCTTTTCTAATTTCCCTGGAGATAACAATTGAGAATAGAGAAGCAAGCAGTGTTCAGAATTGCCCATAAGGCACCAAAACTTTTGGGGGGTAGTTAGTGTCAGGCACTATTCCAGGACCAAAACCCAGTATTGAATATAATAAGATCTGTTTCCACAGGGCAGACACAGACAATATACATCATTACAAAATTTAATAAACCAAATAAATATTGAATAAACTAAAAAAGGCAAAATAACAGCTTCTGCTACTGATAATAGCTCTAAGAAAAAGGTAAAATTAGGCAACTATGGTAGGGCTGTTTTAGCAAGGTGGTTAGGGGAGTTTGTCTGAGAAGGTGATTTGGGAGTTGAAACATAACTGAGGAGAAAGCCAGGTCTTTTTCTTGGAGTGTTTTTGATAACTTAAGACCCCTTTGAAGACTGGAGGGAGCTCAGAAAAAGTGTTTAAATTACCATAGACTAGATAGCTGGGAGCTTGATGGTAAAATCAGTGCTTTAGCCAAATAAACTGTACTTAAAAAATAGTGGTGTGGTATATGATCCATCTCTACTCTACATACCACTCCATTTAGTAAAAAAGCCCAATGGTACTATAGATGATAGACTATAAATGATTATGAGAATGCAGAGACTTAAATGTACAGACTTTTTTTTTTCCCAAGGTGACCTAGCTAGGAAGTGACAAAAATCAGAAGCAGAAAAATCCTTTATTCCATGTTTTTGTGTATCTTTCTATGCCACTGGATTCTTTTTGCTATTCACTCTCTGCTTTAACTAGAATCACCAACCCAGATTCCAAACAACTGCCATGAGAGTAACACAATAAATAATTTGTCTAGTGGGAGTATGGCAAAATGAGGAAAATTGTGTTCAACATTTAGGGCACTTGAGCTACTCAGTTCCAACTAATTAATGTAGACTCAGGGCTCCCAGATATCCTGGTTTTTAAAAGGAAGCTTGTGACCTGGATTGTATTGCCACCTGCCAATATAATTTAAATATTAGTAACCAGCACAAAGTCACACACACAATCCTTCTGTTGTGGGATGCTGGCCAAGGGCTGTCAGCACACACTTTTATAATTCTATTAAAAGTTCTTCAGATTAAATGCTCTCTTTTGTACATCTGAAATCACTTGTCAGAGCATTTCTGTTCTTTTTCATTTTTGGAAAAATGTATTTTCTCTCTTGCCTCACTAGGATATAGCCATGCTTTATCCTGCACAAAGAACCTGGGGTTTGGAGTCCGCTGTCAAAATGTACTGCCACGAGGGGGAGCTCCAACTTTTTCTTTTAAGTTTTGCTTGCTAGTTCAGACAATTTATGCAGTAACAAACTATTATCCTACTACATTTTAGGTTACCTCCTTCTGCTGAAATTGCCTATGTGATTTTATTTTGTGAAAAACTATTTCACTGCTGTAAAAACAGACAGCTAACGACCTCCCTAAAACAGAGCATAAACCATACCAGTTACATTTTAATTTTATTTCATATTTTATTGTTTTTATTTTATATTTTATTATATAGCTTATGTATTTTAAATATATTTTATATTTTAAAATATATTTAACATTATATTTTATTTATATGTTATTAAATGTATAATTTATAGTACTTATATTACATCATATTTTTATATTATATAAATTTTGTATAATATATATTATTAAATATAATACATATTTATATATACATATATATATTTACCATGATATGTGCTTCAGGCAGAGAGATAAAGGAACAAAAATAATACAGAGTTTGGAGCAATTGGGGTCCTGTAGGCTTTCAATTCAAACTTTAAAAGAAAAAAAAAGTAGGATTCTCGGATACAAGAAATACATTTTTATCTAGATAAAGGAAAAGCAGTGACTAGTTACTGGGGGTTGAGGAACTTAAAGACGCTTCTCCACCTTAGACTCAATCTAGTCCTGTCTTGAGTTTCCAGCTTTATTTCCTAGGCCTCTCTTTGGAATCTCTGTAAACTTCTGATACATTACTCCTCACTTGAAAAGTGCTTTCTTGGCTGCAACTAGACCGGTTGTTTTTTGTTTTTTTTATCTTCAAATAACATGTCTTGTTTTGAGTCTCAGCAGGAATCTGAAGTTGTCCCAAAAGTCTTTCCAGGTCTTCTCAGGCCTCGCTAGAAATCTACTGTTCCCTCACCGTGATAATACTAACAAGCTCAGACCTCACGTGAATTTGCACTCAGTCCTCACGCTAGTCCCTGAGCTTGTGTGAGATCCTCCTCCTTCCCAGAAGGCTGTGAAATCAAAGAGGCGGTAGGGCTCAGGATACCGGACCAGGAGCTGGGTCTTGCTGGGTCTTGCTGGTCCAGGGTCTGCGCTCTCCTCCGTGGGGTCACACAGGTAAGATACACATGCCATCCCGTTATCTTGGTATTTATAGCTTCCCCAGCTCCTTCTGCCCTTCCTCCTACTTGCCTCTGCCTCCCTATTTCCTCCCTCTCCTCCTCATCATCACCACAGCTACTTAGTTTATGTGTCTAACCCATTGAAGTTTGAGCTTTGAGGCCAGAAGCCAAGCCTTGTCACTGTGCCGCCTAGGGCTGTGCGCACAGCTTGGAGGGATGTACTTGGTATTGATAGGGAAGAGACTGGACCCTGGAGTCCAAAATGCAGGTAACATTTGTCACGGTGTTAAAGCCGGGACCTAAGGAAAGTCACACTGTCTAGTAGCCTTACTGCCCTCCTCTGCAAAGCCTGGAGGATCACAGCACTTTCCTCCTGGAGGCTTTGTGAGGGACACTTGAGTTAGTCTGTGACGTGCTTCCCATGCCAGGTCTACCATGTGGAACTCCAAATGCGCTGAGAAGTAGTGTAGCAGACATTTCATGTGGATCAATTTCATTGAATTCTCATTTCCTAGATTCAAACTGTAACCTGACTCAGGTTTCAAGACACTTGTTAAGCTTGAAAGATAGGGGGGAGGGAGGGAGAGAGGGAGAGAGACAGAGGAGAAAAACCTAATAAATTGCCAACATTTACTTTCGTTTTCTTTAGAAAAAAGAATTAGTGGCTATTGGTGGCTATTAGTTGGTGATATTGACTCCTAAGCCTGGTAAACACTCTGATAAGTAACATACAAAACCACAGATTTTGATAACTGGATCCCAATTTTATATGCAGAATAGTATATATAAAATCTT